AGATTATCTTCTTCGAGTTCATTTCTGTCATTGGTTCTTGCAGCAGTGTGCGGTGCAGGCGGATTTCCGATCGGATATACTATTCACGGACTAGGCAACTTTCTCACAGGATGGCATCTTCAATAGCCACAACATGCCGGTATGGGCAACTCATAATCCACACGGCACACGTCCACATGCATTCCAAACCCGCTTCTCTGTGAATGTGTGGGTGGGTATTAATAACGACTACCTCATAGGCCCATACCTCTTACCTGCATGTACAAATGGCTCATGTTATCATATTTTTCTGCAAGAGGTGCTACCGAAATTGCTGCAGGATGTTCCGGCTGTCATTCATGATCGCATATGGTTCCAGCATGATGGTGCACCAGCCCATAACCATGTGCGAATCCATAATTATTTGGATGGGACATTTCTGGGCCGTAGTGGACCCGTTCGATGGCCACCCCATTCACCAGATTTATTCAGCTTGGATTTTTTTTATGGGGCCATCTGAAAAAGCATCATTTATGAGACTCCCATTGACTCGCTGGAGGACCTCATTGCACGACTATCCATTGCAGCTGCAAGCGTGCACGAAATGCCTGTCGTTTTTCAAAATGTTCGTCAATCCCTTCTGCAACGTTACCAAGCATGTATTACTGCTGGTGGTCGCAATTTTGAACATTTATTGTGAATACTGTATTGTTACAAAAAAGCACTCTGTGTTGATTTTGTACATAAACACATTTTCCTCTCATGCCCCCCCCCCCCCTTTTTTTCCCCTTTGCGTTTCTGCCTTAACCCGTCACTTTAGACCCTACGTTCCTATAAAAAAATTTATGTTTTAGTATGCTCCACCACCCCTCCAAGTTTGTCCCATGATCTATGAAACGCCCTTTATTAAGTTCCAACTTATCTCTTTAATTTTTTAGAAAGATCATTAATTGACTACATGTTATATTTAATACATGAAGTGTAACTGAAAGCTATACTTCAAACGTTAAAAATTCAAATAAATTTATTTTGTAGTCTATGATAGACTTCAAATTTTCAAATAAAAAACAAAAACAGCAATGCCTTCTTTTTGTTATTATTATTAACTTTTTCTTTTGTCTGGCATAATATAAAACTGTGTTTTATAATTAACAAAATGCACAGTAAACAGTATCAATAAAATCATTTGAAATATTATCCCTCTGCATAAACTAATGTCACAAAAAAGGGGAGGGGGGAAAGAAGAAAAGAGGCTTTAAAACATATTTAATTTCTAAAAGTTTCAATTAAGTGCCAAAAATATCTTCATGGTTCACCTAAAATGTTTCATTCAGACTATGCTAATTCAAAAAACATTTTTCATAATGAAATTTAAATTTCTCTATTCAGAACATTTATTAGGCATATCTTTCATCTGAAAACATATTTACATTTCGGATTAGTAAAATAACTAATGATTTTTCAGATTTATTAAGAAAAAATTATGGACAAATTTTCAGTAATGAAAATATGAAAACATTTTACTGTATGTTGCAGAAAAATACTTTGATTGTATAACCAGATTTTATTTACATCTTACTTGTATAATAGAGCTGTACAGTTTTATAGAAGTTGCAGATATTACAAATTTTGAAAGATATTTGCTTGAATTTGTTATATGGTAGCATACATATTAAATTGTAACTTATCCTTTGCTTTGCATTTCAGTTTTTTCACATCATTTTTACAGTATAATATTATTTTAATTTACTCTGTCTGTTTAAATACATTTCAGTAAAGAAATAGTTGCTAATATCAGAACAAATTTTATGATATATAAATTTACATATACATGAAATATTGACCAAAAATTAAGTCATGTAAATAACTTTTTATAAAATACAAGACTAATACTGATATATTATTAAATGTCTTAACTATTACAGAGTTTCTTGTGCATTCATCAAACAATTTAAGTAAATTAATTATGCATTAATAACACAAGACTTGGGCACTACTGCAGAAATTATTCACATTTAGAGCACTATATTAAGATAAATGCGATATGAAATTTACAAAAATGGAAGAAACTCTAAATATCATTAATACTGTGCTTAACTATATTTCACTAAGAAATCTAGTTCTTTTCACAAACAGTAATATTTATTTTCAACAAATAATCTAAGACATTTCTAAACATTAATACTGTTCTCTCAATAAGTAATCTATAATAATATCATATAATGAAAATGTACATTTTCATGTAAAATGTACATTCCATCTAAATTTCTTTATGAAAAGCCATAACTTGTTGTAAGTTCCTACACATTCACAAGTAAAGTACATATTAGAATAGAATGGAAATTTCTTACGTACAGAATATCACACTTAAATGGCAATATATGAGTATAACATTTAAGTCTAAAAGAATGTCAATTAATTTCATCCTTATGCTAACTTTTGTTTTGCTTTACATAAAAACCAAAAATTTGGTCCCTTTAATAAGACAAATAACATGAACTAGTCCTTATATATGAATAAGAGAACATCAAATTGTTAGTACTTTAAATAGTGAAAGGCTATATCAATACATTCTGTAATATAACATTGTAATGATTGTCATTTTGAGACCTTTGCCTCATATGGAAGAGATTAAGTAAATTACAATAAAATTATTTGCCATTATGATATTAAAGACTCATAACCTGCTAAATATAATTGAAAATAGACAAATTATTTTCAAAAGTTTTACACTACCAGGTAATAACCAAAAACAAAATTGTTTACTACACACCATGTAAAAAAAATTTTTTTTGACAGCAATTACTGTAAAATAACATATGCTGTAAATCTAACTGTAAACTGAAAATAATGCAATAAGAAATTAATAATTACTGCATATATTATTTTTCTGCAAATTTACTGCAATTTAAAATTGTCATCTGGAATATACTATAATCATTCAATTTCCCTAAAGGTGAATTGCAATAATATTAAAAGAAGGCTTAATAGTCATTGCTTAATATGATTAAATTTCTGTTAACTTACTACAACTGTAACTTAAGGTAACTTCTGTGATAAACAAAGTTTAATATTTTGAAAGCAAAGAATACACTCCCTTAATCATTATAAAAAGATTTTTTTTATATTGCTATTGAAATTAATTCTAACTCTTCAGTTCTCTAAAACAGTGGTCACAATTTAATGAAAACAATTCTTTGGTCATAAGCTATTTATTATCACCAAGATGTTGTATTAATACTGTATACACTTTTTTGTTCCAATGTATAATGCATACCACTTTTAACTGGATTAATTTTTGATAATTTCAGTTGCTGAATAGGAATAAAGTTGGCAAATATAAAAAAAATGGTGTTTTAAAAAGTTTTAATTCAGGTCTTTAAACTCTTCTTTCATTTACATGGTTAGTAATATTCCAAATTAAATAATTCTTCAGAGATATCGCACTCATGAAAGAATCTGCTCACAAATTCTGCAGAAGCAAGAAATGTTTTTTTAGAACTTAGATGCAATTTCTTGATACTGTGAATTCAGTACAGATCTAAATGGATGGATTTGATTAGACAACCAGACATGTAAAATACTTAATTCCATAACTGCAGATATTTATTGTTAACTTGTACTATATCCAAGAAAAGATATAAAACATTTTTAGAAAAAAGCACTTTGGTGATAGAGAGTTTTTTCTGTTTGAATATGACAAATGAGGTGAATAATAAACACGTACTTTATTTTTCTCTGTTTGACTGTCGTAAACATTTTCCTCCTGATGCTCATGAGCATACTACAAGTTTTGCAAGGCACTGACAAATAATTTCTCCAAAATTCAAAAACCAGAAATGCAATGATGATAAATGCTATGTTGCAACACCATAATTTTTTTTAAATATGATAAATATAATACAGATATTAATACTTTTAATCTCGGACAAACATATGAACAGCTTTATTAAAATGACTAGTAATGACTAGGGTTTATAAAAGACACTGGAAAATAGTTGAATTCAGAATAAGAAAGAAAAATGAATAACTACATTGACTTTAAATACACCAAAATTTCACAAAAAGTATAAAAATTAACAACTTCTGCAAGAACAATAATAATTTACCCTCAACTTAAAACTTTTTAAATATTGCACATACATGAGAAAACTAACACATGTACATTATGAACAAGAAATGTATCTAAATTTAGTAATAATAAACTTTGGATTTTGCAGCAATGATGAAAATATAAACTAAAAAAATTCACATTAATTTCCAATTTGTTATATGAGAAGTCTAAAACTTTACCAAAACACATAACATCTATAAATACAAAATGCAAGAATTATTCTGAATTAAGAGAGCCTGAACATATTTAATAAAAATTTAAAACTAAGTATAAAATATGAGAGAAATATTTTGATTTTTAATATTAACAAAAAATGGATCAAGAAATTGATTTCAAAAACAGATTACTCTTAGCTGAAGCTATATCAATCAAGGAAAAAGAGGCAAATTTCAATCCTCAGCTTTGAAACAGTTTCATCAAGGAAAAATATATATGCATAAATATTTAAATACATTATAAATATATGTACATTATAAATAAGGCATTTTAAACTTCTAAAATTTCTTTCTAAAATTTTAAAAGTACTTTATTTGCAATAGAAATTTTAAAAATATTTCATTTACAACAAATTTTTCCAAATTAGCTTACTTAGAAATATTTAGCATATACTTAGAAAATATTTTTTAAAATTTCATAGTGAAACTCTTTTATTCCTGAAGTGATATATTTTTGTATATCATGCATGAATCATCAGATTCCATGGATAATATTGAAATATCACAAACTGTTAAAGGTACATTTAAAAAAAAAACTGAATATTTTTTAGTATATAATAAAATCAGTACACTATATAATCAAAACCCGTACAAGCAGTAAAAGTTAAGAATTTCACTTTTTACAAATAAATAGCTTCTTAAATATAAAAAATATTATACAAAATAATTATGTATATAACAAATGTAAAAATCTTACAAATAACACAACACAAGGTGCAAAATAAAAAAGAAAAGATCACTATATCTATTATTGATTTAAATTAAATGCATTTATGAAAATTCACATAAATTCAGTTTTCAGTATTAATGAAAACCAAAAAATATAAATAAAACAAATATTTTTGAAATATTAAATTACACTGTGTTAAAATTCTTATGTGGCAAAATAGATGCTGTCTCTAACATATCGCATGAACCATAATCAGGAAGAATTTTATTTCCCTTCACTTTTTCCCCATTATCATCATGTGCATTTTCTGTGAGGTTTTTGGCGGTATCATCAGTGGACAATAATATAGGACCAAGTATAGCAGTTAATGCTGCACCCACAGGTACAGTCAGTACAATCGACAATACAGCAATATTCAAAATCTGAAAAATACAATAACCATTTATATAAAATATGCTACTAAATTTCATTTATAATTACATAATATATGAGGAATATAACAGCAAAATATTATTCTATATTAATTTGTATAATAAAAACTTCAAACTTTCAAGAATATTTATGATATTTAATTGCATACACAGAAAGCACATTTTATTGCAGTATGGTCTGTTGTGCTGCAAATTTAAATTAATTGTTATTAAGATTTTTTATTTAATTGAAATGGTTTGAACTATATTAGCATGGGCAGTTTAAAAGCTTTTATTATATTCAGTTCTTATTGTTAGTTATCTCATTAAGAGTAGGGAGCAATTTTTCTGAACATCTGAAAAAGAAGCATGAATGGAAGGGCGGTTAAATTATTTGGTCAGTGTTCCCCAAACAGGTTTATTTGGTGGTCTGTGAATAGAAGCTACAATGAGAAAAGAGCAATGTGTTTGGAAAAGTTCTCGTTAGGAAAATAAATTGTTCTTTTGAACAGAGAAAGCTGTGGAGAAGGTAAAATAACTTTTTTTTTTTTTTTTTTTTTTGTTTTTTTGTTTTTGTTTTGTTAAGCTATAATCAAAAGAGTAGGTTTGACTTCCCTTCTTTGCATAAGACCTCCTTATTTTTAGAATATAACAGGAGTTGAATTTTCTTTCACATGGGTGTTTGACGACTCATGGCTGCTAGTGGTCTGCTAGCAGTCAATGAACTATATTTCCATTTGGTTAGGGAGAATGAAAATTCAAAATTTTATCAAGGGTTTCTTGAGATCAGAGTTCAGATTTATCTGAAATTCCAAAGAGTATATGAAAACTGTATATATATATAAGGAAATGGGGCCAGCTTGTCTTGCTGCAGGACTTCCTACTCAAATGGGTTTGAGCCTGTGTTTTTTCGCGGGTGAGGTGCTGGCTAGAGCAGAGATTTGGCTAAAATTTCTTCACTTATATTCATCAAAATCTCATTCTGCATATTCCAACTAAGGTTCTTATTGGGTTGTATGCTTTGAAAGTGAGCTTTTTATACTTCATCTTCTGACTAAGAAATATAAAGGGTAACCTGCTTTTGTTCCTTCAGCCATCAAAGGAACATCTAGATGATGGTTATTAAGTGTGAAGAAGATCTTGAATTTGCAGGCCCTCTTCTGAGTGCACTTCTTCCAACATCAATTTAGATCAGTGGTGAAAGTTTCTGTATTCCAAATATACATGATAAGTTGGGCCTTCTTGTGAGTAGAAACAGAATAAGGTGAATTCAGTGACAGATACAACTTAACAAATTGCTGTGTGAACTTGAAGAAGAAAAATTGTTTAACTTCTTTTTCATGCATTTTGGTTCTCAGTAAGATGAAATTAGATTCCAATATTTCCTCATCGTGAGTTGACTTTTTGTATTTTTTTACATCATTATGTGCTTATAAACTTATTGTGCTTAAATGGTTTATGTATTTACAGAAAGGACAATTTTATTTATGGTATTGTCATATAGTAACTTAAAATTAATGATCTGTAATATTTAGATTTATAATGAGATAACTGATTATAGTGAGGCTCCCTTTATGACAAAACAAACTGTTCATTATTCAGAATATGAATCATTTTTAATTAGTAAATTGAAATACATATTGTTTAAGCATTTAAGAGAAAATTGTTGCAGGGACCTGGATCCAGTCATCACAGTTTTTTTTACTATGAGAAACTGGAATTAATAAATGAGTTTGATTGTTAATTCTTGTATGTATTATTTTTGTTCTTCTTTGATGGTCTACACACTCACTTGTTTAACCAGAAAGTTAGGAAAACATGGAGTTCTATTTACTTGAGCTTACATATAAAAGCAGAATGATACTCACATTGCCACTTATTGACATGATTTATTGAGAGATCTTGATTAATAAAGGGTGCCATTAATTTAATTGTTTATTGAATTATTATTTTAAGGTGAAGAGATTTATTTAAATGTACTAATATTTTTCCTTAATGGTATTTGCGAGGTTGTGTATTAATGCTCTGAATTTGTGGCTATCTTTATTAGGAACTATTATACATTTTGTTTTAGTAATTTTGTGTCTTCAGGAGTTCCATTAGAGACTGTAGTGGTATTCATAATTTCGGAAGCTAGCATATTTAATAGAATTACTAATGAAATGAAGTTTTTATTCTTAAGTATGTGTTTTGATTATTATACTAAGGCACTATAAAATAATATTCCTCTTATTTTCTGGTTTCAGATTTAATAACTTTGATTTTGGAGTTTGAATTTTAATTTAATTTACTTTATAAAAATGACAAGTTTATGTATTTGATTTGTTTGGTGTTAAATTGTATTTTTAGTCACTGAGTTAAAGAGTGGTGCAAACGAGAATTAGTTACAGTTTTTAAGTGTGTAGTTGGAACTTCAGTGGGTAGTTATTGAAGTTCCTGTGATGTAGATTTTCCTTTGAGATAGCAGCAGGGTAAAGTTAAGAGTTTTTGCTGCATTTGGCGAGTGGCCATTCTTCAGTCTATGTGACATTTTAAAAAAATGAATGAGGTTTAGTCAAGATTGCAAATTTGTTATTTCTTCAAGTTCTGCTGAAGGTGTACGACAGCAAGTCAACAAAATACAGTACACTAAGCATCAATGACAGAACATACACACTTTAACTGCAATCAGCAGTTTCTAGATATTCTTAAATAAAGTTATTTTGAGATATTTGTCTTATACCAGCTGTTCAGAATTTTAATAGAACAGAAAATTCTAATATTCCACATTAGTTTAAAGTCATTTTTTTCCCTACATAACAGTGCATTCACCATACATAGCACATCTACAAAACCTTAGGACTAAGTACAAAAAAAAAAAAAAAAAAAAAAAAAAAAAAAAAATCAAAAGTTGAAAGTAAAAACAATATTATTTACCGTTAATATAACAATATGCTAATCTATATAATACTTGGCACATGCATACTGATGCTTGACTCTTTCACCGAACTTACTTTTTGAAATGTTTAAATCTCTGATTAACATTTTCTGAATCTCTTCAATGCTATAAAAATAATTACTTTTGATATAAAACTTCATTTTAGGGAAGAGGAAGTAATCCATGAGTGCCAATTCTCAAGAATAAAGGGGCTACTTAAGAATTGCAACATTTTTCGTTGTTAAAACTGTTTGATGAAAACGGCATCGTATGTCTGCATGCTGCTATACAACAAAAATCATTTACTAAATTGAGCTTCTTCGAGCTGAATTCTCTTCAGAAGTTAACCCATTACATCTTTATAAAATCATTGTCTGTTCCTCGGTGATAAACTACTCATGAATTATCTAATTCAGTTTATAAGACCAACATGGTCTTTACTCGAGATTTCTGAAAGAAGTTTCTATGTCCATGGCAAACCTTCTCCAACCCAAGCAGATGATTTTATGTTTGTTTGAGGATCATAAGCAAAGCACCAAGTTTCCACTTTACAAGAAAACTTTATCGCTATACTTTGCTCAGCTTTTGAATCCATGATAGTAGATATTCACTAGATCAAAACATATGATAAACTACATAGAAAATTCTGTTCTATATGCAGATGATATTTCAAAAAAGCAAGTTGACATGGTCTGGTAATAAATGCTCTCCATCACCATTTGGCAAGTTTTCAGGAATTTGTTAAAATAAACTAGTGCTAAAACTTTGCACAGACAAGTGCATTCATAACATACACAATGCATATAGTATAAGGTGTTAAGACAAATAATTTTAAGAGAAACAGCCAAATGATAACGACAGGGCTGTTTACACGTTTTTAGTATGATTTTAATAAAGAATTAAAAAAAAAGCAAATGCTTTGGAATAAAAATTTCTGGCAACAACTTAACTATTTGAAATGAGAAATATTATCTGCTACTTTAAATTTATTCTTTTTTCATAATGTGACATATGAACAAGCTGAAGATTGAAGGCTATCTTTTTGCATTTTTGGAAGAAAAATAGTCCATAATTCAAAAACTTTGTGAAGTACATATAATATTAAAATTTCTAAATAAATAATAAGCAAAATTATTAATCAGAAAGAAAAAAATCTGTCAATCATACAATTCTACATAAAAAGGAGACTCCAAATGAATACCCAAAAAATGCACTTCCAATGTTTCTAAAGAGGAAATCCAGTGACACAGAAATCACTTACAAAGTCTTTAAATACCCTTGTAGAAACAATAAATAAATTAATAAACCAACATTTACAACTTAAAGACTAAAAAACATAATGTACATCAGCTTTTGCTGAGGTACATGGCTCAACACAGAAGAGTTTTTAGAACCTGTATGAAAACTATTTAGCAAGAGTAAAATGGAAAATCAGATCAAATATTTAAAAATATACTTTATATTTTAAACAGCAATTAGATGGCACTGAAACTGTTCTAAAAGTGTGTAAACACTCTCTGTGTTAGCAAAGAAATCTCAACTTACTTCCTTTAAAATATGATCTACTTAAGGAAAAGCATTCAAATGGAATTTTTAATTTAATTTTATGCATTTGTTATCTGTCAATATGGATTCAAAGACTAATAAATTAATAAGCAAATTGCCTCCCCTCAGACTCTACATTTAACAGTTGTGGAATTACTTCTTATTTTCATAAATGCAATCTAACTATTTTGATGGTATTTTAGAAATTCAGAAAAATTTAAGGAAGAAAATAGGAATTTATCACTAGTACATAACTATGAAGCTTTATGAGCATGGCATGAGAAGCATTAAAAGAAAAATGAAAAAGACTATTGAACAGTGATAAAATTCTTGTAAATACACTGAGAATATTTAAATAACTGTTAATCAACCGTTTTATATTTGTATGTTAAGATTAATTTTTCGTTAATTTATAGCTTTACATAATATTTAACCCTTTTCAACTTATTCACTCAATATTTGCAGTTTTAAATGAATTTAATACAGCTAATTATGGTTTTCTCCTTTTCAAATCTTCTGATTAACATTTGCTCACAATACAGTATTACATTTTGTATTAATGGAATTTTCACAATTATTGCATATAAAAGATAAGAATATTTTAGTTCTGTGCCATGCTAAATATCTACTTTCAGACTGCTAAGCAGCATGAAATAAAACATACCAAACTTTAGGATACAATCAATACTTTGCCAGTTTTAGCCCAGAGAATATCATGCATTCTTATTATCGTAATATTTACAGTTTCACAATAATCATTATATTCTTCTAAATTATCAGCTCAGATTAAAAATGTATGCCACAATATCAATACAGAGCCAAATGAAAATTTATACAATGTTATAAAGTACAAAATATAGCATATATATAGCATATTACACAAAATGTTTTTTTTAAAGCAATATAACGAACTTTTTCTTAAAAAATAAAAAAAAATTACTTGTTTTCCATATTCTTCATACTGAAATCCTTTGTTATGAGATCTTGCATAATCTAACACTTGTGATCCAACAGCAGCCTGTGATAAGTCAAAAAAATTAATACATTAAATTATATATTAAAAAACAGAACAAGCATGTGAAATGAATATAAAATCATAAAAAGAAAGATCAATCAAATAAAACTAATTTTATGTATTTAAATAAAATTATCAAAGATAAGCAATATACATTTAAATATTTTTATTATAATTAACTATACATACATGTACAAATATACATACAAGCATACATATGAAGTAAGTAAAATATATAAATAAATTCAAAGAATAAAGGAAAAAAGTATATTTTCAGTAGCCAGCAATGACCATCTACTAAATGGTTGCAAATAAAAAATCATTAATCATTTGAAGTTAACCGTCAATATTTTCCAAATTTTTGTTGAGTCATTTTAAGTACAGATATAATTATTCAGGTTTTAAATTTTCTCAACACCTGTAAAATCTTTGCAGTAAAATAAAAGCACATGAATATATTTTCCTAACACTTTCACGTGTTAAACAGCTAAATAGAGATAAGAATTTTTTTAAAAAATTATATATTCACCCCTTTAGTTACATAGTTTTGCAAGAGTCTACCATGTCTATGTATTGCCTCTGTATTAAATTATTCACAATACAATATTTATGATGATATACACAGCTGGTTCAAAATATAGATAATTGCGGATAGTGCCTAGGTCAATTTCAGATGGTACCACTTAAATTTTTCTCACAAGCAACAACTCCATAAAGATATGAATTATTAAAATGTTTAAAAAGAGGCACCATCTATACTGATTGTCTACATTGAAATAAAATGCTGAAGCAATGAAAATACTGGAGCCAGGCCTGTACAGATACTAGCAGATTAAAACTCACAATTCAGTGTTTTTACACATAAATTCTTGTAAAGACTCTACACTTTCCCCCCTACCATAATCATTCATAATTCCAAATTTTTGTGTTCTACCATAATGTGTATGTTTTGCACAAATTTTCTCTTTTGCATTATAATCTACACCAGGGATTCTCAACGGGTGGTACATGTACCACTGGTGGCCCACAAGAGAAAAATAGGTGGTATACAAAGAAGCAAAGTATTTTTAACTATTAAATTCAAGAATTTAAACCACAACATCCTGATTAAGTTTTTTCTCTAACACTCGTAAATTCTTGCAATTTGAGCTTTGTTCAAAGTCAATAGCTGCTTATAGACTTTAGCAAGAGGTGAATGATCTGTCTGCATGGCAGTTTTCATGATTCTTCCATGTTGTACGTTTCATAAATATTCTCTTAGCCGTAAACATAACAAAATTTGCCATTTAGAAATGATTTCTTTTTTCTCGATGTCAACAAGTAGGGTCTTTTGTTATTAAAGGAAAACATGTGAACAATATTTGTGCGTTTCATAAATATTCTCTTAGCCGTAAACATAACAAAATTTGCCATTTGGAAATTTCTTTTTTCTTGATGTCAACAAGTAGGGTCTTTTGTTATTAAAGGAAAACGTGAACAATATTTGTTTCAAAGTAATGCTGGATATCATGGTACTTATAAAACAAGCAGTGTTAAGGCCGAAATGAAGAAATCAATTAATTATGAAACATCTGTGCAAATTTCTGCAGAAAACGAGGTAAGTTTTATAAATTTTTCTTATGCGTGATGCTTACCAGTATTAATAATGTTTTTATTAAGAATATTAAGTGTATATCAGTTAATTGAAAACTATTCCCAAGGCCTTGAATAACATTTTCCAAACTTTTAAATATAAGTGTAATAATAGTATATTCATAGTTCATGAATAGTTGTTCTAAATTACTGAAATAGCCGAATTCGGGAAAGATCTGTTTATCTGCAAGAACATAAATGCAAAGCCAATTTTCACCCATTAATATTAATTAGTTTCATGGAATATTTTATGCTGCTAAAATTTTATTAATTTCATCAGGCTACGTTTTAATATTTTAGCTGTTGTAATCGATTTTTCATGAATACACATAAATATCGGAATGTTAATTTTGTTAATACCCTCCATTACCAACAGCTGTAATATTAGAAACATCAGTAATACTGAAACATTTTAATATAAAAGAATACTTTTATAAGAATTTATATTTAATTCTAACTCTTCATGGGAGATTAGAGTTTTTTAGTTTAAATATTAAATTAGCATGTATATTTAGTCCTTGAAAATCAGTGGTTATGTCAGTCCATAGTTTGAGATAACATGTGCCTTATGGTAGATCTTTTCAATAAATACATTTAAAAATCTTTTTGAGCTACCATGATTTTTAAATAAAAAATTCTGCACATAAATTATGTATCCTACAAGATTAAAAATAACTTCAAATTTATTTTTTGAATATTTAAAATGTATACAGATAGTACTTTTTTATTATTTATTATTATAAAATGAAGAAAAATGTATTATGAAAAATTATTAGTTTCACAGTTAGTACTACAGTGACACAGTTGCACAATCTCTATATTTTTCTTTGTGACATTTATATTATAGTATACAAAATGTGTTAATTTGCAGTTTATACTATCAATAGGATAATAATAGTCAATTGCTAAAAAGTAAATTTTAAGTTGTATAAAATTATATATTAATTTTGAACTGCACAGAACGTTGGCATCATTATTCTTACATGATTTAAGGGACAACTGCATTTACAGTGCTTCGAAAATTTGACTATTACGATTTTCAGAAACCAACTATTTATATTTATCGTTCTGCTTGTTAAACTGATAAAATTATGGCTTAAAAATATTTATAGTAACTTTCCTTTCAGTGTAGAAGAGCACTCTATGTAAACATGATTTAATGTATTCATTTTTACATTTTTTATAAATGAATTAAGTATCAGATCAAGGAAAGAATTCATAAATAAATATTAACAATCAAAACATAGTAAAGCAGCAAGCAAAAAGTATCATGAAGATAACAGTTACATGTGAGTTACCAAAATTATACTAACCAAATGAATGAACAGTTAATTAATGGATGAAATAATAATTAAAGATGAAATGAAAATTTCATAACTAATTCAAAATAAACAAAGTTTCTGAATTTTCAACACATCTACCACAGCACAAGCTTGTTTGTTTGCATTAGCAGTTCTTACATCACATGACCTCTGAAGTCACCAGAATGTATCTTGTTGAATTTTATGGCTTAAGTGCGAAGAACATGATATTTAATAAATAAAGGCGACACACAAAACGTTAAAAAATGCCCCTTTGGGTGTAATATAAAATCAGCAAGCTTTCAGAATATTTTTTAAATATTTCTATTCAGAACATGAAAAGTAATCAATGTAAAATGTAGTGGTGGTACTAAAGGTTTTCAAGTTTTGTTTAGATGGTACGCATTAGTCAAAAGGTTGAGAATTACTGATCTGCACAATATTTCCATCAGACATAATTTAATTAAACATCAACAGTATGTAGCCAAATATTAATTTCAGGAAATAAATGTTTTGAAATTGACTTTGTTAAAAACTTTGAACATGTTTATAATTAATAAATAAAACATTTATTACAACTAGATCATTTATAATTATTTCTTTCTGTAGCAGACCATAGACATAAAAATATGATATGATGTTTAGTCAACTCCCAATTAACTATGGAAATGCTATGGGGGGCATCTATGTATAACTCAAAATCAGTTCAAGGGCAGTTAAGGAAACACAGGAACTAGAACTAATCAATGTTAAAATTAACAGACAAATACTGTATACAATTCCCGAGTATTTTCAAGCAGTTTAATCAGGAGAGTTCATTTAGTTACATAAATTAAATCAATACTAGAAATTAAAACGAGTTAAAAAACACATTAAATGTTATTAAATAATAATGTTTACAAACAAACTTCAAAACAATGTCATTAAGTTCAACTCGCACAAAAAATTAAATTAAAACTTTTTTTAATTGTATAATATTTACATATTCAACATAATTAAATTATGCACAGTTAAATCCTACATTAAAACACCATTCAGTTAAGGCATGATAGTTAAATCTTTCTGAATTAAATGGAATTTTATTTTTGAGTTGGAAATTTCACACAAATGAAAAAAAAGCATTTGGCATAATAAAATTCAAATTTTACTTTTGGCAAAATACTGAAGATGGAAATTTTACAAAAGGTAAAGCACAAATGCCTAATATAATTTTCAAAAACAATGATCAAATACTATGACATATTTTAAACAAACATTCTTCTGGTCCACTTAATTTACAACCAACTAATACGGTCTACTTAATTTACCTCTGGTTGATTGGAAGTTAACTGTAACACTATTTGATATAATTTAAGGATCAAATTTTTTATTTTCAATCTGATTCTTCATCAAACATTTCTTCGTAAAAACCAAATCTTTATTACAATCAGAAGTCAATGTATACATAATACAGTCTTATTACATTAATAATAAATTCAGACTAGAGTTTGCAAAGAAAAGCCTATTTTCTTTGTTGAAATGCCATTATTAAGGTCACAACTGAGGAATCAGATCTACACACCATGGAATCAATCCATGATATGTACATATTTGAATTGAACAATTAAATGATTACAAAACAGCAATGCATAAAAATATTTTAAACTGATAGAGTACATAGATTTTCTGTCTCTTTTTAAGGAGTTTTGATTCAATTATGCAAGACTGTTTTCATACACCATTCCACTGCAGCTTTTTCCCCCCCCCTACATTTTGCTATAGCTCACCAGTCACTGAGTGATAAAAATAACTGTATAGAAATTATTCAGCCCAGCTTTGAATCTCAAGAAAGTTGGTTACATGGGAGTTTTTGTCAGCTGCAAACTATTCATGAATGCAATAATTATAGCATTCATGATTGGTCACCTATTTTATAAAATTTAGCGAAAAAAATATAAATTTGAATACCTCAAAATCTTATCTCATGAAATAAGCAAATTCATTATGCACAAAAATAAGTTATCTTTGATTCTTTTGCAACTAATTTTGAGAAAAGTAAGGTAATGGAATCAATATTATTAATAATGGGAAAAGGGTAATAAGTTTCTTAACCAGACAACATTTCATATTCAATATTCTTTCATTTTTTGTAGAATAACTATCAAATAAACCAAAAAGTACATTAAATATTAATAAAAATTGCTGAAAATAAAAAAATTCTGCATTGCAGTATTTATCATGAGAAAAATTAAAATTCTGATACATTAATTTCTAATATACTACTTTATTATAACATTCATTTCTAATATACTTTATAATAACTATTCATTTCAAAATATACTTTCACAAAACATGTACTATATTTACCTGCACAGTTGCTTTAGGTAACCAAGCACAACAGACAAATATTTTCTCTTTTATGTTTAAATTTGCACCAAATACAGCAAGACCAGTGACAAGAGATCGACAACACAATCCTAAAATTAGAGCCAGGACACTATAACCTGAAAAATAATTAAAATTTAAAAACTTATATATTTACTTTTAATTTTAAAAATATCCATGCATAATTTCAAGTTTCATAAAAAAAATCTGTGCTAAAAAATGCATATAATCCATGATTATTCCTTGAAAAACCACCAAAACATGCAAGTTTTGTATGTAGGGCCTACATTCATTGAATTTTTACTTCTCATGAAATTAACTATGTTGGAAACAACATACAACTAATTTATATATATTATATGCAAATACAAGTAAGCTTTATAAAATAATTTTTTCAGATTTCCTTCACAAAAGATTTCTATATATATTTTGCATTTCTGCTATTTATTACTTGGCAAATCACAAAAAAACTTTAGGATCATCACCGATAAAATATTAAAATGAGAATTTAATGATTTTCTAAATTTTAAAAATAAAAAATATTACCAACATGTTGTTGAAGACTAGGCAATGTCACTTCAGCTCCAATCAAAGCAAATAAAAATGGTTGGATGATTTCCCACATAATATCTACAACTGCTGAAATGCTATGCTGTATGAAAACATGCTAATATTAGATTTATGATGAAATTAAACATTTAAGTAAATAATAACTTTAAAGAATATGTAAAAAAAAATTATTAGCCTCCTTAATTATGAGATGAATTTCAACCATAATTTTCCACTATGATAAAAATTTTTATTGTAATGCTTTAATGAATTTTTAAACAGATCACCTTAATTATTAAAATAATTACACAAAGGATTTTTGATCAAACTACCATGAAACAAATGATTTTTATTAAAAGCCATTTTAATTGTTACTCTAATTCTTGTCTTTAGTTTATCAATAATAGAGAGTTTACTTTTTTTAACTTAAAGATAACTTATGTATATATGTCAAAAACGTAAAAATTTTCCTAAAATTATAGAAGTGTAGCAACAATGGGGTGGTATACTCACTTACTTGTGTTGCCATCTATTAACCCTAATGAGAAGTGTTGCATACGAGTTTCACATGCCCTTGAAGATGACAATGGTCTTGGGATTCAATCCCATGTCTGTTACATGGCAACTGTTGCAAAGGAGCTCCCATGCAACAGATTCTGATATTCGAACTGCTTTGTAATGTGAGCATTTTTGATTAGCTTTCAAGATCACTACAGAAATACTAAATTACATTTTTAAAAAGTTTAACAATCTTTGCCATTAAACTGTATAAGAATGTCAAATCCAAGATGTTTCTATTATGTTTCAAGTCAGCAAATTAGAAACTTTTTTCTTTTACATACTGCTTAATAAGATTTTGAAATTACAGCTAACTTAGCCGTTCTGCAAAACAGATAAATCTCTCAAACAGCCTTTGTATTTCCACAATATGTCCTATTGTTCTACAACTAAAATATTATAACATTAAGAGATTCCAATGAATAAGATCAGAAAAATATAACCAATAAATTGCTTTTTCTCAGAGAATAATTTTTAGAATGAAAGAAATCTTCAGTGGAAAGATTTGTAATCTAATTATTCTCCTCACTCTGTTTAGGAAAGTTAAGCTTAAACAACCCTTAAAGACCTTTTAAGTCGGTTATCATGTTCTCTTTTAAAGAATTTGTAAGCTGAGGCTCTTTTTTTGACAAGAAGTTGTGAAATGTCTTAAATATTTCAATATATGCTTCCTCAAAACTTTCCTGTATGATGGAATTAATTCTGTTAGATAATTAGAAAACATTTTTGGAAGTGTTCTGTAATTATAAACATGAGTTTATTTTTGAAAAATATTGAATTATATATAAGAACATTCTTGAAGCCATTCATCATCATAAAATGTTAAGTTTTAATGTTTAATTGGGAGGTTTTTATAAAGTGCTTGATACAAGTTCCATGCCAGAGCTATCAATCATGACAATTTCAGCTCTGTACAAAAATCTACTTTTAACACCTTATTCAGTTTTATATAATTGTTGATGATATGTGAACAGCAACAATAGTATTTCTAAGTAAATGGTAACAGTGAACGTTTTAATTCTTTCTCTGTTGTGTAAGAAGTATTTTGAGTTTGTATTCTGTAAAAGGCATGTTTTGAGTTAAATAAAATTAAAAAATATATTTTTCCACATACATGCAAATTCCCAGCATAGAAGGACGACAAATTTTCAGGTGATTTAAATGAAAGCTGGTATAAAAGAAAGTTATCTGTTAAGAATAGTTCTAAAGTAAATAAAATATCTTAGTTATATTAAGAAGTTAAAAGATGTTATTTCATTTTAGGTATGGAAATTTCAAATAATAATATTATTTAAATCATCTCATTTATACAATATAGTTGATCCAGTAGCATGGTATTGCAGTAACAACTCAACTTTGTATCAGACAAGTGACAACTTAACTCTTATGTTTAATCTAGTATCCTAACAGTAGCATGCAGTAATAAACGGTTATGTTGCTTGCTCTTAATATGCATCTTAATTATTTATTTGTACTTAATTCATTGCTTTTTGTTTCAGCCCATAGATAGTATTTATCGATAACCTCAACAGGTTATGGGCCCAGTATGTTTTATATCTGCATGAATTTAATATCTGCTAAAATTTTTGAAAAGCAAAGTAAACCGCGTGCTAGGCCTAACAGTGAGACACTACGTATTTGAAAGTACAAATCGACTAGAAGGTGCAGAAAATTGGAGCGAGTGGAAGTGGCAAATGAAAATGCACTTTGAACGATATAATCGTGCGGATGAGCACATGAAGAAGGTGGCTGAATGGCGACGTGATAATGCTAAGGCAGCCGTGCTTATTACAAGTATGTTGAACACTTCTATATCCAATTTAATGATGACGTACTCGAATGCAAAGGACATTTGGGACAAATTAATTAGTGTTTTTGAGCAAAGCAGTATTCAGAGACTTAATTTATTGATGATACAATTTTTTCAAGTCGGCAGAGATCCAAAGCAAAATATTGCTTACTGTAGGTACAGAATTCAGCATTGTTTGGGAGTCTCTGGACTCTGATAAACGAACAATCAAGAATCTTGTTGAAAAATTGTGTACAATTGAAGAATGTGTTAAATCTAATGCTGCATTGGATTATGGTGCATTTGCAGCTCGTGTGCCTGGTTTTAAGCAAAAAAACTGAAAAATGGGGAAAGACTTCCTGAAAGTACTTCTGTAGGTAATAAATCTAGTAATTTCGAGCAAAAGAACTGATGGTTCAATTTTTGTGAATCAGTGTGCCTATTTGAAAAACGTTCTCTTAAAATTTCGTATGGACTCCACCAATCCAGGGTTGATTGAGAAATTGAGAAAATTGAGAAAAGCTTTGTTTTTGATGACACAGAAAACAAACTGATAGGGAAATCAGTTTATCTTAACCCTTATCGCCAGGCAGTTGGCAGTCTGATGTACCTTGCAACTGTTACAAGACCTGATTTAGCTTATGCTATAAGCATTGTTTCTGAAAATCTTGAAAATCCCAGGACCTCTGATTGGTGCGCTGTAAAGCGAATCTTTAAATATCTAAGAGAAATTGTAGATTTTGGCTTGTTATATCAAGCAAAGTCTCATCCCAATGAGCTTGAAGTGTACAGTGATGCTGATTATGCAAGTGATTTAAAAACAATACACTCAAGAACTGGAATGATCTCTAAATTTTTATGTGGAACCCTCTCATGGATGAATCAAAAGCAGAAGAGTGTCGTGTTATCTACTACACAGGCTGAATATGTTGCTGCGAGTAAGAGTGTTAAAAAGTGCTAATTTGGCTGAAACATCTGCTCAGTGACATAACAAATTTCAAAACTCCCTCTCTTCTGGTAGATAATGCTAGTGCTGTAAAACTCGCCAAGAATCCTGAATACCATAAATGGTCCAAGCCCATAGATGTCCGTTATCACTTTGTGCGAGAAAAATTCATTGATGGCGAACTGTTAATTAAGCACATTCCTGGTAAAATGCAATTAGCAGACAGCATGACTAAAGCATTGCCTAATGTTAGGTTCAAGGAACTGTATACCTTGTTAGGACTGTTTTCATTTAATAGTCTTGCTAATGAATGTTAATTTAATCTTAAATAAGTTGCGGCTTGTGGAGGAAATATTGTAGCAACAATTCAACTTTGTATCAAACAAGTGACAACTCAACTCTTATGTTTACTCTAGTATCCCGACAGTAGCATGCAATAATAAACAGTTACGTTGCTTGCTCTTAATATGCATCTTAGTTGTTTATTTGTACTTAATTAATTGCTTTTTGTTTTAGCCCATAGATAGTATTTATCGATAACCTCAACACACGAGATAAGAAAGAATATTTTATAACTTTCCTTGACAGACTTTATAATGGTATATTGGAAATGAGGTAAACATGAAACATTTAATGCAATAAAATTTTATTTAGGAGAGGCAGAAACTAAACGGTATATGAAGATATCAAAATTAAGATGCGACAATGGAGCAGAATTTATTAGTCAAAATTTAAAAAGCTAGTGCAAAAAAGGAAGAATCATTTTGGCTTATACAGTTATTTTTTTCAATACAATTAAATGGAAAAGCAAAAAGCGAATAATAAAAGTGAATAAAGCAAAAGAGTGAACTGAACATTCCTAGAAAAATCAAAAAACCTTACTGAGATTCCAAACTGAAAAAAAAAAAGGGGGAGGTGTCAAGAAAAGCTGTTCAAACTGCAGCTTTATTGTTAAATTGCTGTTATTTGCAGGCTAAGAGGAACATTAGTAAAACAGCACCAGAAAAATTAGAAAAAAATTTTTAAAGTCGCATAGCACTAGTCGTTTAGAATTCCCAATGCAGCATTAAGTGCTGGCATATATATATATATATATATATATATTCAACTAATTCAATGCTCAGTTTTCTTACTAAGCTAGCTTTATAAAACTTTTGTTGTGCTTTTATTATTCACGTTTTGTGGGTTTACTTTATTAAATATCTCGTTCTTGGGGCTTACCACACATAAAATTCAGTTCAATAGCAAAAATTATTTGTTAATCAAAAATTCATTAAAATTTTACAAAATATCAAATAGGTAATAAAACAAATTCAAAATTCGAGCTTCCAGGTACCCATGCTCGGGTGGAGGATTACTTTATTCAAAATTTGATTTCTCTAGGTACTGTAGTTTTTCATAATGCGAGAAACATGCACACAGATTTTTCATTACTGAATTTCTCTAAATATAATGCAGAGCAATAATATTTGCTAGCAACAATTTGAAAAGTGATATACCGTTTATAGTGATCCAACAGATGAGACTAATATCCCATTTGAGACTAATGTCCCTTTTGTACTAATAAATCATCATACTAAATAGAAATTAAAACATACATATATACACATTAATATTTTATAAATACTTACAAACTGATCAGCATCTTTCCTCCACTGTAAAGAAGCTGCAAGAGCAAGAGTGATGCAACCAAGAGCACCAGAACCGGGAATACCAGCTCTTTTGCTAGCAAACATTGCTGACAAACCAGCGAAACATAATAGAAGTACGTTGTAATAAATTAAAGCACTCTGAAAATGAAATCAATATTTGAGAAAAGCACAGAAAGCACAAAAAATTAAATAGATAATGAAATTAATTATCTGTAATTTTGTTAATTCACTTTATAACTAATTATAGCCAAGTGCACCAATTTAATGATTTTCTTTCTTTTATAATTATTTTTCATTTTTCAAGCAAAAATAAGCCTTTGTGATCTAAAACTCATGTTTGTCTAGTGACACAGGATAGCTCCCTGATCAGTACATTGGTAACCACTCCTGCTGATGTACTGTTGGGTTAGAATTTGAATCCTGGAGAAGGTTTGGACATTCGTGAGAGTCAGTGAAGCACAGGGCCACTTAAAATACTGGCAAGCCAAAAGTACTCTAAAAAAATTTGGTAGCAGGGAAAGAAATGTGGATCTGTCCTCTGGGAGTTGTTTTCCCATCAAAATTTGAACCCCCCCCCCCATTCTCATACGTGTAAAATTGGCTGCTCCCTTTGGTAACAATCTCAGCAGTTTAAGTAAATCATGTGTTTAAAGTTTTTTTTTTTTTTTTTTTTTTTTTTTTTAATTTTAAACAAGTATTTCGTTATAAATCTAATTCTTGGCAATGTAAATTATATTTTACATCACTTACATACTAAATTATTTTCTTCCTTTTATTTAATTGTTACAAATCTAGTATCTACAATAAAAATTCAATTTATATCAGTGAAGGTCAATTTTTGTACATATCAGAATCTACTTAGCATATACTGGTAACAAGACTTGCATATATTTTGTTTAACATTAAGAAATACATTCTGAAGTTATGTAGTTTAATAAGGATGCCCATGCAAAGGAACAACAATTATTTCCCCTGTAAGGCTTTAGGATATCTGCATGGGTATCGCACAAACCAGAAGAAAGCACAAAAATATACATTCATCAAGAAATCCTGCATTCACAATACTACAAATTCCATATTCAGAACAATGATTTTTTTAACAATGCCAGAAGCTACAGAAAATTAACTTAAAGGCTTCATGCAGTTGACAGGGCACTAGTTCTCCACTACTGATTTATCTTAATAAGTAATAATACCTTTAAATTTTTTTAATAATTTTCAAAATCAAACTTTTTTTCATTAATTACTGTCTCTTCCTCTCTGATCCAAATACAGAATTCCTTATTGTTGGCAAAAAGAAAATACATTTAAGCATTTCAGGTATACAATAATTATTGTTGCCAATACAACTGAGAAGAAAATAAAAATATGAAAGCCTCACATCATAGCAATTTTTTTTTCTTACTTGATAATACCAACATGCAAAATTCTTTTAAGACCTTCATCTACATTTCACAGCACTTAAAATCAATCTATAGCAGAGTGTGCAAGGTGTTGCAAGGTCACAATTTATTATCACTGAGAAGGAACCAAAAGCTATTCTGGATGTACACAACAGATCCTTTGAAATAAATCTGCATGTATATTCTATTGCTTACTGGCATTCATTGCTGCACTTCTGGCTGGCATCAGCTGCACCTTTTTTAGTGCTTTTACTGTTAAAAGACATCATAGACCTAATACTTCAAACAGTACCTCAGTGGAATCCCCCCATCTGAAAAGCATTTAAACATATTTTTAAAACATATTTATGAATAAACTCCCCATAAACTTGTTTTAGCATATAATGACTTTCTTTTCCAGATTTACTGACCTTGAAACAGAACTTTGATCAATGCTCCATTTTACAGCCGCAATTACACATTTACAAACTAAAGCATTACTAACAGAAAAGCTTAATGCATATTCCAGTGTCACATTCAGACATATTCAAATACATTATAGAATATGTTTTCTATTGTTTCATCATCTGCCATTACAACTTATCGTATCATTCACAGAACTTCATCATACCTTGTATAAACATGATTTTTTTTTCCCACAGCATATTAATTTGTCAAATTTAGCTAAAGGAATTTACAAGAATTTCTTGCAGCTAATTCAGTGATTAAAAATGATGTTTCAATGTTTATATGAATCCATATAACTGTCTCTTTAAAAGATAGCTCTCAAAATAAAATTTAAAATCTTCTTTTGGACAAACCTTTGATCTGTCTTTACTTGGTATATGCCAAAAAATAACTCCAAACACAGATCCAAAAACAACTCCTACAAGAGGTTCCAAAGGTGCCTTAATAGCAGTCCAGATTATGTTACCTATGAAACAGGCAATCAACATGTAATGAATATTTGTTTGCAAAAAAAGAAATTCAAACTATTAATGTAAAAGATATGTTACATATTTACTTTAGATAAAGAATACATTTTATGTATTGCATGGCAATTAAAATATCATGAAATCTCTTACACTATTTATCTACCAATGATAACCACCTCTGAAAAGAAAACCATTTCTTGGAGCGTAAATAATGGTATTAAACATCACCAACGATCATGTTTTCATCCTCAAAAGACAAAAGTGGTTCAAAATAATAGATGATTGTCTTGATGATGTTGAACATTGATGATGTTCATGGTAATTATTTTCTATTGTAAAAACATCAAAAAGTAATTTTTCTTATTAGGAGAGAAATAACTACATAACATAAACTAGGAAGATAAAATATACCAAAAACTTACTGTATGAATTTGAATAAAAGGCTGTTATTTTTCCACTATGACCTGCCATGCGTTTTGATGCCTGTGACAGAGAAAACAAACATGCCCCGAGACCCAATGAAAGCATCATCCAAGGATCAAAGCATTTATGTGTGCATGTTTAGTTTAACACAGTTAATGGTGTATTTACAATTAAGAAAAGCCAACAAAATGCATGGCAGGTACATAATGGAAAAGTACCAAAAAGCCTTATTCACATTTCAACATTTGTACTCAGAAAAATCCTTTAATACCTTTACACTGCCTTTAAACAAAATTAAATATTTAAAGTGAAATATGCCTTTCCTGTATTTATAGAAATCTTGTATTTATAAAAAATAAAGAAGTAAAATAACAATAAAATAAAGCAACAGGTAAAAGATGTAATGGATAGAAGATATAAGAATTTCCTGTTTGATAATCATTAGTTTACATAGCTGTGAACTTGGCTTGCTACATCATATGGCAGTAGTTTACAGTATAAAATAAAGCTATTTTTATATTTAAAAATACACATTAATATCATTATTTGTTGACTGTATACATATCTTTTACCAAGTTCTAAGATCCTACAATTAGCCAATGTGACAAAGGTAAAACATTTACCCCAATTAACAAAACAATCAAGTTCACAGCATTTACACAAAGAACTGTTTATTCCTAAAAATTCTATTGTAATCTAATTGAAAAACTCTAGAATATACTAAATCTAACTTTTATACTGAAGAAAAAAGTTTAACCTGCTGTTTTACATTTTATACAACAAAATATACAAACACAATAAGGCACTGACATAAAATTAATATTAAAGTAGTTGGCAGCTTTTATCATCAGATTTACTTTCACTTCAAATATATTGGCATGTTCTTTCAAATAATTTGCTTTTTAATTTTATCTAATGAACTAGAAATTATTCTTATTTTATGTTCATATGAAAATACATATAATGAAGTAAATCTTTTTTACAATTCCGAAACAGTAATTGCCATGTAAATACAACACCTTCATATGCTTCCTAAAAATATTAATGCTCAACAGGTTAAACACTTAAATATTAAAACATATTATGATTAATTTTTAAATGGTAAATAAAAGTAATTATATGTTTCAATGTGTTAATTATTTTTGTGAATACAACAAAATTCAAGAAAGAAATCTGCATATTAAATATACTAAATACTTTTTATGCAATGGAACTAAATTCACCTAATAAAAACTAATGTTTTAACATGCAAACATCAATATTCAAATTTTTTTCATATGAAACATTATATCTGACTAATATAAAACAGACTCCTAGCAAAAATTCTACAGGAAGTCTGTTTTATATCTGTCTGATTTAATGTTTCTTATAAAAAAAAATTGAATAATGATGTTTATATGTTAAACATCAGTTTTATTAGCCAGAATTTTTTAGTAGAATTTTTGCTGGTGGAAATAAAAGGCCCATATTTCTACTTGAAACATGTCAATTTATAAGGTTAGTCTCTAACCGACTAATATTCTTAAACCCTACCGATACAATGAGTTATCATTCTGTTCGTGAAATTAACTACTGAAAACAAGAGAAGGTTTAACCTCTGAGTGGCTTGGGTTTTTGCTAAGAAAGCACAAATTTCCCAAAACTACTATCAGAAAGAATTATGTCCTGTCTTTATACCTGGATTTATGTACTTTTAAGATAATACCTTAATTTCTCAGACATATTTCAAGATGCACGTATATGTACATTATTATAGACATCACAAAAAAATATTAACACGCTGTACATAATACAGCCTTATCGGTCAGAGAGTTAAACAATCATTTTATCAAAAGCTTTAAATAGAACAAATTGCATGGTTTGTGCTTAAAATTTAATTTTTGAGGCTTGTGAGATATCGGTAACAGAAAAAGAGTTTGCAATTTAAATTAAATCGATATTGGAGACTACAATGCAAAGAGCCTAACAAGCACTGGCTCATTTACTAAGTGAATAATTTGACTGCCCCTAGCAAAATGGCTCAAGTCAGATAACTAACAAAGCTAGGTGAAAGAAAAGTATAATGGCAATCAGTACTGTTGAAAGCTCTCTGTCTGAACTTTCTGACTTAAATATCCATATCTCATTTACAACCTGATGAAAGCTAATGAATAAGAGAAGTGATATTAAAGTTCCAAATTTTATAACATACGTATTATATAATTTTTTAATTATTATTATTACTAAATTTAGCATAAGCATTGTTTTTAATGTTTACCAGAGTAAATGCTATCTCTTGAACTTATTTCAAAAACAATTTGAAGAATTAGACCTAAAAAGTGAGATAAAATAACGCAATACAAGAATCTGCAGAAATGTACAAATATATTCTAAGGGGTTATATATAATGATTGAACACCTGGTGGTAAAGTGGCTAACGAGTCACGCAGCTGCTCGGACTTAAAATGAGTAAAATATTTCAACATTTAATAGAAATATGATATGTTTTTTAAATAAACCATGACTTCGATTTATTTGTTTAAAAATAATTGCATAAAATTTCACTCATTTGCTCACTGAAGTTAAGATAAAGATGAGATATGGGAAAAATTTATCTTCGACTCATAAGTTGATTTTGGGGGGGGGGATTTAGATGTTACCTTTATTTATTAGCTCAAAGAGGCATTAGCCCAGAAGGGCTATTAATTTCAAAACTGCATTTTGCACTGAATCACTTTTCAAACTGTTGCCACCAAATATTATCGCCATGTATTATATTTAAAGAAATAATAAAGAAATCTGCATAAATGTTTCTCACACTCCTAGCGGCATCAAATTCTGAATAACATAGTCCTCCAACCGAGTATGCACACTTGGAAATCCAAATTTTAAATTTTAAATTTGTTTTATTATCTATTTAAAATTTTAACAGACTTCTGATTAACAAACTCAATGATTTCAAAGCAAGCAATGGCAACACTGTATGAAAAAAACATTTTTATCTATAGGGCATGTGACTGTATCAGAAATTCTAAAGATATGTTTTTTTGCTGCGTTTAAATATTTTGTGATATTGCTGTTGAACTGAATTTTATGTGTTTTAAGTTCAAAGAACATGATATTTAATAAATAAAGGTAATACACAAAATGTTAAAAAAATGAATATAAAATTTGAAAGGTTTCAGATTTTTTTTTAGCCTAAAGGGGAAATTTGCCTAGTAGGGCTATTAATTTCGTTTTGGCATTTTGCATCAATTCACTTTTGAAATTGCTGAAAATAAAATAATCATGTGATCTCTGGCGATCAAGCATTTGCAATCATCCAATATCTTTTTCCCGGCAGGCCTTGCATTAAATGTTTATGTAAACAAATATTTAGAATTCAGAATGTAATGAATATTTTTTACTTAGTAGGTTAGTTTAGTCTTTATCACAGATTACCTGATTTATTCTCAGATACGTGGATTATATTTCAGTCTAATATGTTTATGTACGAGATGTGAATAAAAATAGAAAACTTGGACAACATGGTTTTCATGTGATGATAGTATTTGTTTATAAAATACAATTTTAAATTTTAATATTTTGGCAACATTGATATTAAATTGTAAAAGAATGAGTTAAAAATAGATCTGGCATCTAGAGAGAGCTTGTTATGGTTTTGTAGAATGTGGTAAGGTTCCTTATGACTAATTTTATTTAATAAAGTTTTCTCTTTATATATTACTACAGTCAAAAGTCGTTAATCCGTACCTCAAAGCTACAAACTTTCTGCGCATGCGTCAACGCATAATGCATTCACGCATGCGCGTAATACTTTTACGCATGCGCATAATACGTTTACGGATGCGCGTTTAATGTATAACGGAAGGTATAAGCTAAGCTAAAATTACCTAATTATTTATTTCAGTTAGTCTTGCAGATTGCATTGTTTCTTAATCTTCGAATTGGATCCGGCTTATTATTTTTTGCAGACTGTTAGAGCAATTTTAAAAGTAAGCTTGAACTTTCGATTATGTCAAATACAATTTCCGATGCTGGAGCTGCCAAAGCGAAAGTATGTTTCGATGTCCATCAAACAAAAAGTGGAAATTGCTGCAAAAAATGGAAAAATCGATATTCCGGAATCGCTGAAGTCCCGACGAGTCCGGATTAAAGACTTTTCACTGTATAATGTGTTTTTATTAGAAGTAGATAATTCTTTAAGAGAATATCATTTATATGCCTATTCCTAAATAAATATTAAGTTTTTCTTTAACCATTCCAAAATCTGTTTATCAATTTCACACTGTTCTGCGGGGGGGGGGGGGGGGTGCAATGAACTGGAAGTTGATCTGTCAGCACTATCCTTATCTTCAGGGCAGATGTTTTTATTTTATTCAGCTTATAATTCCTTACTAAATGTAATATTTCATCTCGATGTATTCCGTCTTTGATATGATTTAAATCAAATTCCTCGTCATTACAAATATCACGAGTACACATCAAATAGTTTTCGGGTTGCAATTTTCTAATTTCGACTATGCGTAATGTATGCTTTACGCATGCGCGCGTTGAAAGAAATGTTTAATAAAGTAAACAAATAAATATTAAGCTTTTTTATGTAAATTTTGATACCCTTTAGATCATAATTGCTCTTTATTTCATAAATTATGATTTCATATTTTTAATTTTATAATTTCTGCATGCCATTTTACCAGATTTAAACTGATGATCTATAATCTGGAAAAATCGATATTCCGGAATCGCTGAAGTCCAGACGAGTCCAGATTCAAGACTTTTCACTGTATAATGTGTTTTTATTAGAAGTAGATAATTCTTTAAGAGAATATCATTTATATGCCTATTCCAAACCAACATTTGGTAGCAGAGTGTGGTTATCCTTCTTTTGCTAAAAAGCGTGATTATGCTTTTTTTTTGCTAAGAATTTTTTTTATCAACTTTTACTAAAAATTACTAAACTTTTACAATCTCATTATCAGAAGCCATATTATTGTAATTTTCATATTTTATTTTTGTGCATTAACTGAAAGTGGAAAACAGAAAAAGAAAACATGACGATTCAGAAGGTAAAAGCAGAACTTTTGATGGCTCAAATGTTAGTCTATGAAAAAGTACCGACTGAATCTGAAAGTTCTTCATATTTTTACAGATCTTCAGACACCAGAATTAGTTTGGATGAGGGCTTTAAAGAGTCAATTAGCTTTAAGATATTAAATTTTAAACACAGTGCATTATAAACACATAAAAATAAAGTGAACATTTATGATAAGGAGACTGTATGAGAGGTGGAAGGAGTTGGGAAGTTAGATGAACCAGTAATACTGCTTTCTGAAACATCTTTCATAACAAAATAAGAATCTAACTTTATCTGAACAGATTTTCTTTAACTTTCAATGTTAATAAAATTATAGCACTTATGGTGTCATGTATAGCAGACTTGACTTTAGAAAATCCCTCAGAATTTGGGGTCTTGGTTTTCCAAAAAAAGTGATTTTTTTCGAAAAGTGAAAAATTTTACTTTGAGAACAGGTTTCTTCATATCTGCGAAAGTTCACGCAGTGGAAAATGTCTGCATTATCCAATAAATACTCTTAACAACAACTTGACACAATATATTATACTTCATCATTATATGCTCAAATTAATGACAGTTAAAATATCTTTCATTTTTAATCACATTTAATTTGCACATTACAAAAATCATCCTACCTTGTGAGAAAGCTATACTTAAAGTTATTGTAAAGCCCGCAATTGCCAGTATATCATCCATTGATGAAGCAGCAATTATAAGTGTAGGGATTCCCTTACTAGTTCCCAAATTCTTTTTCATCAGGTTAAGAAGTATAGGTAACACCACAGCTGGTGAGACTGCTGATATAATAAATCTAAAGAACAACCAAGCATTTTCAAACACAATTTGAAATTCTGAGAAAATAAATTCCATTTAATTTAATTTCACACAAAATATCAAAAATATACATCAATCAGAAAGTATAAATTTAAAATATAATATTTCTTTCAACTATCATTTAGAAAACTGATTTATAATTTACTATATTTTTATTTCCAACTATTGTTTCTTTCAACAATTATTATTTAAACTAGGGTTTCTTAAACTCTTTTCAGTCGCGACCCCTTTTTATCAACGAGATTTTTTTTGTGATCTCCAGGATCCCATAAGTATTGCACAAATCTGACACACGTGCGAGTGAAACTGTCAATTTTTTTCACTTGTACTTTTATATACTATTGCAGTTTTAGGTCATCAACTTTAATTTCTAATTTTAAAACATAGAACAATGTGAAAATTTTAAATAAGTAACAAATGAAATGACAGCATCACGTGCAAAGCAAGGAAAATGAACGTTTATATTATAAAAAGAATGCGTCGAAACAATTTCTTTTTTTTTTTTTTTTTCTTTCTCTGTATAGTCTTATCTTTATCTATTTTCAGATACATTGTATAAAAATATTAGGTAATTGTAAAATTATTATAATAAGTTTAAGACAAATCAAAACTTCTAAAATTTTTGCTGACCCACAGTTTAAGAAACACTGATTTAAACTATAAATTCATTAAATGTTAAGTTTTAAATCAAGGTTAAAAATAGTAGTAGGGTTTCAAGTGGGTAATGAAATGAAGAAGTGACATGAGTATAACCAGGCCTTAATTATATACTGTTAAATTTTTATATTGGAGTTAAGTGAAATAAGTATGAACAAAGCCATCATAAGATTTAAAAGGAAGTTATATGCTGCATATCTAATAGTGTTTTTTATTTAATTAATACATATTAATAAAAGTTTTTTTTTTGCAGCTAAAATTGGTTAGTTCCTGATTATCTACAGCCCCACGAAAAGTATGCACGCTATTCTGCCATAACAGGCAGCCTATGACATTGAACAAAATGTATTTATGTGGCAACTCAGGTAATGCGCACATGTGCAGTAGACAAGCGCTGATTTCCACTTATGGCCACAGTTCCATTTTGAAATTTGGTGTCTGTTTCTGCTGCAGAGAATGCACGTCCCCCCCTTATAAGGAATCGTAATAGAACTGCAGAGTTTTCCGCCTGATGATACAGAGAAATGTCTTTCTTCGAAATATGGTGATTTGTTTATGCAAAAATTCACATTCCAGATAGGTGTATTTCATAAAGTATCGGATTTTATGGATCAAAATTTGTGTGCCAATGCCAAATTTGTGCAATACTTTTTTTTTCTCTTTAGCAAAAACAGATTTCAGTGTACATAGACAAAGCAAACAGTTATGTACAGTGCTAAGATGAGAGTAATTTTAAATTTCTGCAATTTTTGATTTTCCTTTTAAGTTAAAACAGACTGCTGTGCACATGATGAGAATATCACTGGAAAAAACATTTATATAACAGATGGTTCTTTCTTTATCAACTGGTTGCTGTTTTATGCAATTCTTGGTGCACTGGCATTTTTTAAAACAGCTATTGTTTTTCAATTGGTGAAAAATGAGTTGCTAACTATTATAAATTTTTGGGGAAAGAGGTGCAGATAATCATCAAGTGCCCTAAAATTATATACAAAATTAATTTTCATATGAAAGTAACATAAAATGAATTATGCTGTTCATCAAAATTAAAGGATAATAAACAAAATATATTCAATAATTAAAGTTTTAAACTAATATCTAATGGTGTTATTATTTATGACAGTTATCTGCTACTGAATGCAAAATTTGACTTCTGCATAAGGTTAGTGCATAAAATATGCAAATTAGGTAACTGACAATGTGCTGAGCAATGGAGGCATGTTGGAATTAGAATGTGGAGTAATATTTAAACTTAATGGGGTTTCTGAAAGTGATTAGTGTTTATTAGTTATGATTCATTGGCATCATTTAAATAAAATCAGAAGTGGCAATTCATTAATACACTCAAGGAAGGGAAGCAAATGCAAGTAAAGACCATCCAAAATCTGGAGCTCTCTCAAAATGTCATATCAAGGACCTGGAACAGCTTTTCAAATAATGAACCAGTTAGTAGACAGCATATCAAAGATGACAAAGAGCAAAACCTGTATCTGAAGACCATTTTCTATTATTTATGACTTGAAAAAAAACCATAAAATAACTATAACAGAATTTGTTTCAGATTTTCTGGCTGCCACAGGAACACAAATCAGCCATTTTATAGCTGCAATATGGCTTCATAACGATGATAACACAAAAGGGTCAAAAAGTAATGATTTGCACTCCACTCACTTCATATTCCAAATGGACCACATGAACGTGATGTTGCTGTGATGTTCAACGGAAGCAAAAGAATGGTACCATGTACTGTTTACTGACAAGTCTAGATATAGTTTGAACAGTAATTCGGGGAATGTTGCAATATGAAAGGAGCAAGGAACACACAGCTTGCCTTCCCTTGTTCATGAAAGATCTCATTTCTAAGGAAGTGGTCTTGCAGTTTGGGGTGGAATCATCAAAAATTATTACATCAGTCTTTGACAAAGATTTTGTCACATTACAGATATGTAGATGATATCTAGAAACTCCATGTAAAGCTGTTTAGGCGTGCTACTTAGTAAGGCTACTGATAAGATTTTTTACTGATAGGCAGCAACAATCATCTAGATAGAGTATCTCTTGTGCCAGAATATTTGGAAACAGAAAATATCAATCAAATGGACTTGCCAGCTTACTCAAATTACTTGCTCTTGATTCAGCGTGATCAAGACGCATTACACCACAAAACTCCAGTATAGCAAATGCCTTCATGAACCCTCCTGAATCTGAAAAGTGCATTTTCAAAAGAGTGACATGCAGTTCCCTAAGATTTGATGAACAGTAAGATAAATTCTCTGAAATCAAAATGTAACATTTGCATTTCAGTCAAATGTGACTATACATTACAGAAAAGAAAAAATTTGTAACAAAAATGGAAAGATCACTTTTCCATAATTCTATGATTTCTATAAATTTGACTTTAAATTAAATATTTTGAGGATAATCAACTGGCAAACATAATTTGTTAAATAATTCTTTCTGAATTTTTTTAAATAATTTTTCAATAGTTAACAATTTAATTTTATTTCTGTGAATATCCTTTAATTTTGATAAGCAATGTATATCTATACAAATAAAGTTGTTTGGGTTTGGATACTCAAAGGCAATCACAATTTATAGAGAGTCACTACATTAAGAGTTATACAACAGAAGTGATTACTGCCAATTTACTGACACCAAATTTAAACATGGCTGAGGCTCATCCGATGATGAGAAGGCTAACAAGATCATCTGCTGATAATGTTGATTAATCAGAGATTCAGTAAGACACAGAGGCAAGACTGCCTCCTTAAGAAGAAATACAGCCCTTTGTAAGGCCAAGTAAGTACCTAATGTTTAGACGTTAATCAAAGTCCGATTTTACGACTGCATACATTCTTTGGAATTTTTTTTCATATTACATATCTTTTTATATATCTCATTCTCATTTTGACCCAAATTATAAACTTATGTTAGTCTTCATTCACGTAAACTGAGCTGTTAGAACACAGGAGTAGATAGTACTTCAATACTTAACTTTGCAATATAGTCTGTCAAAACTATAAAGAGGAACAGCTTAAACTTTAATTTATCTAAATTGATTTTGACAAGTATTCTTCAGTAAATTTACATGATGAACAACAATAGCTAAACAGCTTCTTTTCTTCATACACAGAAATTTTAATAGTTGCTGCCATTTATATTTCTCCTTTAGCATTTCATATTCCAATGTAACATGTCTTTATAGACTATATAATATATCTCTAGAAATATAATGTATATAAAAATATATGATATGAAACAATTTTTATTTTGTGTATTTTCTATTTAGATTATGCTATTTATTACAATAAAAAATCTCAAAGGCTGTCTTACCTTCCGACAGGCGAGCTTTCAAATGACAGAAACAATCACATTTGCTTAAAGAAAACACATGGTAAATTTAGTGCCTAGACCAAGAGCATGCTCTTGCACTAGATTTACAAACACAAAAGTTTTTTGTTTTAATATCAGCTGAATTAAACTATGGCTTTTCTAGTATTGTCAATATATTGTACCACTGGAATATGTCATAAGAAACTGATACATTGGATTGCTCAGATTAGTACAAATAGATGTGACACAAACTATTTCTTCCTTACACTGTTCAGTATACCACAGCTCATTTATAGTATGCTCTTCAAATCACTGGCGTTTGTGAATAGGCCTCTCAATCAACAGACTCATTAACACTACAGTAGCACTTTCAAATATTATGATGTGCATTGGGAGCAGACAATGCAGCACTGCACTTCCTTACAGAAAAGACATGTTGAATTTAATTCAAACTCATTTATGTTTTAAAATTAGTTGCTAGAGTACGCACCACTATTTAAAAAGGTTCATGTTTCAATAATCACTGCCTGAAATTACACAGCTTATAATTCACACTGATGGACAGCACTACTACCAGAATCTTCCATGAAAAACTTGAGCATTGGATCACTACAGAACTAGAAATATTTAGCTTCCAAATATATGACTCTAGCTTCCAACTCATGTTCATATATTATGAATGAGAAAATTAAAAAAATCTTATACTCCTAATAAGCAGAAACCCATTATATACAAATATCGGAAATTAGCTAAATACGAATATCATTCTTCCATGATCTTATCCATTTGATTGCTGGCGGGCCTATGTGGTTCTTTATCTAAGAGATGTCTTAAAATGTACATCAAGTTTTAATGTTTGAAAAGATAACTTACACCTCATGCAGATCTCTGATTAGTTTCAATCAAGATACAAATGATAGGTACACTATTCATGATGATACTTGAATGGGCTCTAAATATTCTACACAATATTAGAATTTTCTTTGAGAAGCCGACTTACAAATGTAACCATTGTTGTATTATGTTCAGCTAGAATTAAGTTCTGAAACATCCATTTAACCGCTTCCCTAACAAATTTTTTTGAAAAAACTTGCAAAAAATCATCACATTTTTACTTCCTTGTACGAAGTAAAAAGGAAGTATTGTAATCGCGAAAAGCTTCAGGCAGCATATTTCAACGAAAATATCCACTTTGATCGCTTTTGAATGCAATTTAACGACATTTTTGCGTGATATCTGTACGTAAGGACAGAATAAAAGACTCTTTTCCTCCAAAAAAACTAAAAAACTGCTTTAAAATGAATTCTGAAGAGAATTTTTCATGGCGTCTGTACGAACGTATGTACGTACGTACATATCTCGCATAACTCAAAAAAACGTAGCCTCAGAATGTTGAAATTTTGTATATAAGACTACTATAACATGTAGATGTGCACCTCGTATTTTGGTTTCAATCGGCCGCGCCAAACGTATATAAATATATTTATAAATATATCCACTCTATTACCCGGCTCAGTGATCTCAGTTTCTTTACTCTTATATGTTTGTAAATTGTACATTTTTTGCTTTAAAAATGATTGAATTATGTTGTTTTATCTTCCGGTTAAGGGTTTTATGCCTTTAGTAAATCTGTATGCAATATTTTTAGAATTATCAACAATTTTTAAAATTGTTGAAGTGCCGCTAAGCCTATTTTAATGGCGGCCATTGATGTTTACATTTGAAACAGGAGACTAATGGATTTGTTGCCAATCTAGAGAAACTTAGCTTCGCAACAACAAAGATAATGCATTCATTTATTATTGCCAATTAAATCATGCTTAATCCTTTCTTGAATTTTTTCGAGGAAATAAGTGTTTAAGATTTACTTCGTAATTATTAATACAGATATGTAGAGTTTTTATGTATTTTTGCCTTGTCGCGAAGTTAGAACTGAATTAATTGAATGAGAAATACTCAATCGTCTGTAAAAAACTGTTTCTTTTTTGTTTTGTTTGCTTAATTTCTTTTATACATAGTTCTAGCTTTATTATAGTATTTGAATAGAACATGTGGCAACAATTAGATAATTCTTTAAATGATATAAATTTTGTGCATTCAGAGTTATAATATGAACGAAATATACTGTTAAGTAAACCTAGCGCCAGAGTGTCGCTATGGTAAACAAAGTGAATTTTAAAGAATGCATTTATTCTATTGTGGTTTATGCGCTGTCGGCGAAGTAAGTTTAATTCAATCTAATAAGTTTAAATAAAATGCAAGAAAAAATGCGTATAATTTAATATTCCGTACAAGGAAGTCATGTGGTGTACACATCAGATTTTTTTATTTTATTATTAAATGCAACAAAACAAATCAAAATATGTAGGTTTTAAGTTGAATTTTTAATTTTTTGAAGGTGTAAAATCATTTATTTTTAATATTAGTTTACTATTCCGAGTTATCTCGGGCAAATGAAAAAAGTTAAATATTAATCTTTGTATGATAGTTTTTGAAACAAGGGACAACACAGAGTGATACCTGACATTCTACACTGGTATCTGATCTGTTTTCTTACTGGCTTACCACTGGAATCTCTTTCACGGGAGCACAGAGTACACTGTCTCGTTGGATTTTATATTTTATTTTTATTTTTTCCCCCACCTCTTCGTAATCACTCTCTGAAAAATCATCGCTTTCGCTATGTTGTATCATCGCCATTATTTTATTTTTTTCCAACGCATGCATCCTTCTTTTATACATTACTAATCCACAAGCCAACATATACTATACAATAGGGAAACACGTGACCAGTCTCTTCAAAAGAACAGCGCAAACAACAAAATTTGGCAAACTGCCAATCAAAGCTGAATATTTCCTTTCGTTTCCTCCAGACCGAGTAAAACCATAATAAAAGAAATCGTACTAGCAAATTCTGCTACACCCGAGTTTTCTCGGGATAATAATTAACTGCAATATATACGAACCCAAGATAACTCGGGATAATCAGGCAAATGGTTAAGAAACATGCAAAACCTATAAATGAATTTGATAATCAAAACTATAAATAAAATTTATACATATATTACCCAAGCATTGTTGCCCAAATCCATGGTAAATCCAATAAAAAATGTGCTAAAACAGCAATGCTGCCTGTTTCGACAATACAAGGAACAACTGTCAACCTGAAGACAACCATTTTTAAATTCTTCAGCTTATTGGGATCCAATCCCAGGCCAGCTCTTAGAAGAATTAAGACAAGAGCAATATCTCTATAAAAAGATATAAAAGAAATATGATTTTACAGAGAAGAAACAATAACAGAATATATTATTAAAACTGAAAGAACAAAGAGAACTGAGAAAGATTTAAGTAGTTTGAAAATATTAAAGCATATTTTATAAATTTTCCTATAGCTGCTCTACATCATATATTTGAGTCATCAATCATCTTCAAGCCATTAGAAAAATTAGGCTTATACAATTAATTGTGGGAAACCATTTAAAAGATACCAAATTATACAACTGGAATTAATCAATGATTTTTAGCAACAGATTATTGGCAAACTACCTCAAAAAGTGCCACATATTATTTACTGTTTCAAAATCAGTGCTCTTTATCAATTAATATTACCCATTTTTAATACAGATTGTTAGTTTTTAAACTGACATTACTCAGAGCCATCTATCAACTGATATGCCACCAATGTGCTAGAGAGACTAATGGCAACATGGAAAAAAGATTTCGTGAAAAAATAATTAATTTTGAAAGCTACTCATAGGGGAAAATGTAGCATTGTTCTAATTTACACAACTGAAAATGTGCATGAAACGCAGGTAAAATTTGAAAATGTGAATGCTCTGTTCTGTAAATGATAGCAGCATAATTCAGTCTGTAAAAATAAGGGGAAAACATCAAACTGGGTTAACTGAGTTCACTTTACCTCAGCGTGTATTGTTTGTGAAGTTCTTTTATCTTTATCAACTGAACACAACTGCTGCTCTTCATGAGTTTAGAAGTCATAACAAGGTATATAAAGGCTTGTAATAAATGAATGTATTGAAAGGCATGATTCAGAAGTTTGAAGGAACAAGATTTTTACAATTTGATTTGGTAGAGGACAGAAAGCAGCATGATAACAGACAGGTATGACTTATTTCCTGACAGCACATCGAGACCATTGCTGGTAGTAGCAATGCCTGCGTGACAATTGGATTTGAATCTTTCAATGGTGTGACAATCTATCAGTTTTTCACTTCTAACCACACCAGAGAAGACACATGGATAAATTAAAACACAACTATGATAAATAGGCGGCATTTGTTCTGACATTTCTTGCCAGGATGAATGTCACAGATACTTGGCTGTGGAGAATTCTTTGGGAAGATGAGGCCCACTTTCACTCGAGTCTGTTAACACTCACAGTTCTCATATTTGGGCATCCAATCAGTTCCATGCAGTTCAGGGAGTCCCAGTGCATTCAAACTCACTGTTTGTTATGGTTTCGCAGAAGATTTCATCAACGGACCATTCTTTTTTTGAGAACATTACTCTAACAGAACCACATACCTGCATGACTACCCTGCAAAGGTATGATATGCACATTAGTTTTATCCTTCCACAATTTTATCAGATCAAGTATCAAGTAGCTTTGATGCAGGCTGTAGCACCATCACTCATTGGTCTATCAGTACAGCAGTTGTTGCACCATCATTTTACTGATGAAAGGGTCATAAGTCACTATTCTCGACTTGCATAGCTATTTCCCTTCCCACACCTAACTTTATATGACTTTTTCCTGTGCGGTTAACTGAAAATCAAGGTTATCTTGGTAAGGTCTTTACCTTGACAATCTTAAAGGACAACATATCACATGCTGTGCTGAGTATTATTAATGACATATTATGTTCAGCCGTCAAGAATATTGTGCACAAAATGCAATATGTGATCCATGAGAAGGGTGGTCATACTGCAAGAGGTCTATGCCTTTGCCAAGAAAGCACTTCATTGAATAACAAGACATGTGTGTGTGATTATGGCAAAACCTCAAGAGCTATCTGCCTAAGAGAAGGGATACCTTCATGGAGGACTTTCTAAGGGAAACTGGCTCGTATACACGTTACACATGGGGAAAACCACGAAAATGTCCATGCAGCCAGCCCGTTCGGAATAACGAGAAAGGTTGCACTGAAATATTCTTTCTATAACATTTTGGGACAGTTCATTTGCTGCATTAAAGCAGTGTTGCACTGAAATTTCTTCTTTGTTATTAATTTGTCTAATTCTCAGCTGGGTAGACTAGAACAGCACCACGTTTTTCCATATCAGCAACTTTCACAAATAATTTCTTTTCTGGAACCTTTCTTCCCTTGTTTTCATTAATTCCAATACAAAATTTGGCGATATTCCAGTTGATAAGAACAAGCTGCAGATGGCTCTAAGAAGCATTAGTTTAAAAACAAAACCCTATACTTTAAAAGAAAAGGATATTTTATAAAATAAATAATAAAATATTTAAAATTTTAAAGGAAACATTATTTTAATATATACATTTATCACTTAAATCTGCAATGGTTCAACTAAAACTCAATGGATATGTTTAATACTTTTTCCATTATATCCAATTCTATTTTTATTACTGAGAAAATTATAAATGAGCTATAAATAAAGACATAGACGATCTTTAAAAAAGGATAGAAAAAAATAACTACATATTTATAGATTTTCAGTCTCATAGAGATCATAGAGAGAGTATTTATTCCCAAGGCAGATATGATAAAAAAAATAATCAATGAAAAGAAATTATCCAGCACGGCAAACTACTCACAATCTTAATTATTTTTTAAAGTCTTTTAATTTTTTAATTAGACAAAATTTATGGATTTTATTTTAATTCATATAACAAAAATGATACATCAAAATAAAAGGTTAGATAAAACTTCTACTAAAAAAATAATTTATTCTGCAAATTTTTTACACTTAAAAGAATTTTCTGTAAATTTTCATAATAAAGCACATAACAAAATAAATTGTTCCTGAAAAAGAGAATGCTATTTTACTTTTGTAAAATTTAAGTACAGAATTTTTACTTGTGTATTATTCCATAAGCAATGAAATTATTGCTAAGCGGTGCAATCGAGTGTTAATTATGGTAAAGCATGATGCAATAACACACCCTTAATGTCTGTGCTTTTGTATGATGTAACCCTGCTTGATTCTTGATAAGCTACACTTTATTTCTATGAACAAAGACATAAATTAACTGTTATTGCTGTATTTTTTCTTTACATTTTGAAAAAATCTGCCTTCTACAGAACAGAAAGCAGTAGGTTATTTCTTAAGATTTATTAAGATCTCTTCATCCAACAAAGTGTGTATTAATAGACATGATATGGTCAGCTGAATATGTTCCACAAAATAATATATAGAAAAAATAATCAGCATGAAGTTTCTACTCTTAACATTTTAGATAGTTTCTGAAAATGAGGCGTTAACAAAAAACTAGAAATTGACTTTATGTCAAAGGCAACACAAACAGGTCAAATATTGATAGTTTATTAAATAAAGAGATTTCATTTCCTTCAGAATTCCACAGGAGAGACTGGCACAACTTTGGTGGGATCTCTGCCAACTTTATAGTTCACGGAACTATATATAAGTACACAAATTTGTTTAGTAGCATCAGTGTTAACTTAAAATTTTTTAGAAGAGGTAAATAAATATCAAGAAAATCTAGGTATTAAATAAGCTTAATATATTCCAAAAAAACATGAAATAGGAAAAATTAAATAAATAAATCAAAAGAAATTACAAATAAAACAAAGCAAATTTAGTGATCAGACAGTAAATCTAATTGCATTTCAATTGTTACCTTAATGATGATACTGTTTTATGCGAAATATTTCCATAATATGGGATGAAAGAAAGGTTGCGATAAAGAAATCCAGCTATCATCATACCTAAAAAGTATTTTCAATTACTAAAAAATCTATCACAGAAAATAAAAGGAAATGTTAATAATAAATTATATTTCTGGATTGATAGAAGTATCTAGGAGACAATAACAAAAAAAGCTCTAATGATTGAATAAAAAGTTATCTGTATTAAAATATAAAGTACATAAAATTATTTGTATTTCATTTAATTTTAAGAAATATTTGTCCCTAATATCATCTAAACACTGTAGAAGTGAATAAACAAAAAACAAAAACGAACATGCATATACAGTCAAAAGTCTTTAATCCAGGACTCGTTGGGACTTCGGCGATTCCGGATTATCGATTTTTCCGGATTATAGATCATCAGTTTAAATCTGGTAAGATGGCATGCAGAAATTATAAAATTAAAAATATGAAACCGTAATTTATAAAATAATGAGCAATTATGATCTAAAGGGTATCAAAATTTACAAAAAAAGAAGCTTAATATTTATTTGTTTACTTTATTAAACATTTCTTTTAACGCTATTATTCTTTTAACGGCTATGCGTAAAGCATACCTTACGCATAGCCGAAATTAGAAAATTGCACCAGAAAACTATTTGATTTGTATTCGTGATATTTATAATGACGAGGAATTTGATTTAAATCATATCAAAGACGGAGTACATCGAGATTAAATACTACATTTAGTCGAGATTAAATACTACATTTAGTAAGGAATTATAAGCCGAATAAAATAAAAACATCTGCCCTGAAGATAACGATAGTGCTGACAGATCAACTTCCAGTTCATTGCCGCCGCGACGTCTCCCCCCCCCCGCGCAGAGCAGCGTGAAATTGATAAACAGATTTCGGAATGGTTAGATAAACAAAGGATATGGCTTTATCCATTTTTTGTAGCAATTAGTTTTTTGTTTGATGGACATCGAAACATACTTTCGTTTTCTAGATCCTTTGCGAGCTCCAGCATCGGAAATTCTATTTGACATAATCGAAAGTTTAAGCGTACTTTTATAAAATTGCTCTTACAGTCTGCAAAAAATAATAAGCCGGATCCAATTCGAAGATTAAGGAACAACGCAATCATCAACATTAACTGAAATAGATAATTAGATAATTTTAGCTTATACTGTCCGTTATAGATTAAACGCGCATGCGAAAACGTATTCTGCACTTGCGCAAACGCATATGCGCAGTCGTAAATGTCTTGCGCGCACGCGTAAAATGCCTACGTCAACGCGGCGCATGCGCAGAAAGATTTTAGCTTTGAGGTCCGGATTATGGCATCCATGAAACATCAGACATCCATGAAATAACCAAATGGAGAAAAGTAAACATAATTCAAAAACGTTTAATCTTAACAAAAAAAAAGAAAAAAAAAAAGAAACTTGATATCTGAAAAGAGGGGAAAGTATTCTTATATACATTTTAATTATTAAAAAAGAATTTCATATACACATTTTAATTATTAAAAAATTAAGTTTTGACTATTTAAGAATACATTTGAAGTATTCCAGGATCATTCTGTATTCACCTCATTTTCCAGATACTGCTGTAATTAGAATTCAATTGAATGAAAGTCAAAACAATCAAAAACATTGACAGAACTTTAAAAGTTTTAAATTCAAGTCTTTCCTAAACCTCATTATCTCTTAAAATATTAAGCTTCAAAACCAGTTATATCTGCAGAATATAATGAAATATGCTTTCATACAAATTTCATAATACTATAGCCTGTTACTTTAAAATAGGCCACTGCCTCTCATCCACCATTAGCAATCACAGCTTTTGTCATCATGATCAAACAACTTTTATTTTCTCCACATCCGCTGAAACTATAGTTCAAGTTAGTTTTTATCCATATACTTTTATTAAATTAAAACATACTAAAGGAAATTAAATGGGGGAAAAATTAAGCGACACACCCTTCCTTCCGCAGCTGTTGTTTCCATAGTTACAAGTCAAACTAGGTGGAGAAAATAACTTTGAAGTTCCTGTTTTAAATTAACAGACTATAGGATGGGGGCTCTACCTATGGCCAAAATGGATTCTTTTATATTAATAATTTAGCCAAGAACTGAACTGAGGTATATGGGCAAGTTTCACGGGAGTTTATAATGTGTTTCCTTATGAATGACACAAATACAATGAACTTTCCCTTACAAAGTCCTCCAAGAAGACATTTCTCCATTTAGCAAATAATCCTCATGGATTTTGCTAGACAACCTAACAATATTAAGCAGTATTTTATGAAAACCCATAATCTACTAATATTCCTTACTTATTTTCAATGCTAAAATTTCATCGTATTTCTAGCCACAATTAGTAGATTATTCTTAACAGAAATATCTCAAATTGTTAAATCCATAGGATATCAAAAAAGGATTTTAAAATTAAACTAGTATTTCAATGGCGTCTTAAGAAAAATATAGAACTATATAAACTTACGCAATCTGAAATCAATGTGTACATTAGATTTGGCGCGCTGTTAAATGGGCGCATTTGCTAGATTTGGTGCTTTTGCTCATACATTTTTGCTGCAATTTTCTTACGGCCCTCAAAACAAAATAGTACCAAATATTCTAATCTTTACTTTTACCATCAGGTATTAATTCAAACACTAGCATTTATATTCTTTTTTACGTGAAAAAAAAACCAATCATGATTTCCTGTTAATACTACTTTATTTTCCTTTTTTATTTTATTATTCTTTTCTTTACTACTTTATTATATATTACTTCAAGCTGGATATTCACAAGTCTTCATTCAAATTCAAATTAAAAGTACATTCAAATTATTATTTTTTTACATTGTTCATAAAGTTAGTAACAAGATTATTAAAGTTAATAAAATGTTCAGATATTCAATACAGAAAGGATTCATAGCAGAGAAGATCAGAGTAGACAGTTCAGATATAATATAGCAGATAAGCAGTCTTAGCAAAATATTAATTAAATACAATACATCAAATAATGCTTTAGATATAATAGATAAAACACTGATATAGAGTCTTGTGTTATTATGTCAGTTCACTGAAATTTGGAACATGTAAAGTAATAGTTTTACATTCTAAAATAACAAATTCATTATCAAATAAACCAAACTTCAATTTATTAAAAATGTTTAAACATACAAAAAAAGTTTAAATTAGGTTCAAAGATAGGTTTAAATTAGGTTCAGAAATGGTTCAAAAAACAGGTTATATTAAAAAGGTTTAAATATACATAAAAAAAAATTTATTGCTTTTTTTTAATAGGCAAATACTATTGCACTTTTATTTTACCTTTTTAGCACTTAAGTTATAGCATGAATTTCAATATTTTTTATATTTTATAACTTCTCCATATTTTTAGAATTATAGTATCATAACAATCAAATATATATTTTTAAGTGACATTAATGAAATAACTTTTCTGACAGTAAGGTTTTCATTTATTATTTTCCTAGGGAAAAATCTGTACTTGACCACATACTTCAATCATACTGATAAAACAAAACAAAATAAAAAAATTTTTAAAAATTATTTTCAATATAACACAGTTATAAAAAGATGCTAAAATACTGGCATTAAATAAACAATTTAAAATCAATTTCAGAGTTTCAAATTATTTTGCAGAAAAAATATTTACCCAGCAATGGAGGGAAAAACATAAATCCAAATATCCTTCCAGCAACAGTTGCAGAAAGTACTAATAAAAGGAGTGCAAAAACTTCACTTCCAGGCAAAGCATTCTTATTCAAAATGCCATACGTGGAGACAGCAAAAAATATCAAAACTAAAAGTTGAGTGAGGAAAAGGTTAAACTCTTTTTTGTTTGGCAATATCCCATTGCATGCAGCTTGAAAGCATCTCCTTATTGGTCCTAGCTTATGTTCTAAATGGGGAGGAAAAAAAAGAGAGAGAGAAAAAAATATTACCTGTATAAAAATGATTTGCAAGAAATAGTATTGGTACTTTCATTAATTACTTATAAATTTATTTGCACAGAATGAGAAAACTCAAACACCACTTCTCTTACTTGAAAACTTTTCCATTAAAAATATATTATAAATTTTTCCGTTATGCATTTTGGCTTATTTTTTTTCCACATCTTTGGCTCAACACCAGAAAAAATGATCGGGAACAGCAACATGGAACTTTCTCCAGTTTCACAACAAAATCCTCAAGGAACCATTATAGAGGAACAACATTATCTACATTAGTTTTTATGAATAAATTTTCATCAATTCCTACAATTTTGTTGCACCCACAGATTTCAACACTGGATGAGATAACAAGGAACTGGTCCATTCCTCCTTTTTATGCAATTATTCCAAGAAATCATTGTGTTGCCATTCATTTAAAGTAAGTTTTATTTTTCAAAACACTTAAGTAAATGAATTGTAGCACAGTAACAAAAGAAACATGTGATCGAATAAACCAGGTTTATGTTCAGTCACCTGTAGAATCCATTGCAGTACACATGAATTCATCCAGGAAAGAAGTCAAATCAAACTCGCAATGCCCAACACTTGGGAAATATAATAAAAAAGAAGTCAAATGGTGTGGCTTTAACAGAAAGATACCATATTAAGTTCTAGCCTTAGTATCAGTGTCTATTTAGTATCATGTTAGTGATACAGTTTAAAATAAAATAACACACCCTATAAAAACACATATCTTTACTATTATTTTACAAAATTTGCTTTTTTTATAATGCTATTAATGAAATGGAAAGCAAAATTTATAATTTTTTCTTACTCTTATGAAATTTAATTTTTGAGTCCTAAAGTAATCATACATTAGTCTATAACGTTTTGATAAGGCAAAAATAAATCAGAGAGAATTTCTTCCTTTTCACTGAGAGTTTCAGATAACATAATAGAAGATCAGTTTACCATTGCTGTAAAACTTCTTTAGTATTTGACATTTGGCAATGAGCACAAAAAATTATGAATTCAAATATCTTAACATTTAAAAACAAAAACGAATTAAGTTTCCAAGTTTAAAACAAGAAGTACATAAACACAGATTGATATTAAATTTCAAGACAAATCTGCAACTAAATTTTATTTACCAGCAGACAAAATTTCATACTATACAAATCTAAGTAATAAATATGACTATTTGGCATTGTCACTAAATTCTTTACATGTACTATAAAAAATGTGTTTATTTCCTACTACTGAATCACTACTGAGTCACTACTGAATACACTAATAGTATTATAATTAATGCCTGAAAGACAAGTATCATTTGATTCTATAATGGACACAAATATAACAAATGGGAAAAATCAATTTTATAGAATAAAAACTTAAATAAAATCTACATAAATTATTTTATAATGTATTATGTACCATTGCTACAGCATTTACATCTAATTTTGAACAATAAGTTAAAATGACTGGATTTTGCACTGTTTATAGCATAACTTCTCTAAGGCTTCAAAACAGCAATATCATGAGCACAAGAAATAGGCAGATACCTCAGTCCATTATTAATATTAAAATAATAATAATTTATTGTATTATGAATAATAATATTTAGGCAGTGTTCATGAAACAAGCAATAAGGGATAAAGAAGGTAAAGAAATTTTGAAATGTTTTTACTGGTTAACTGGTCTTAAAACATTTTAGAGTCTTACAAGTATTAACTGGCTTTACAGGCAGGCTTACCACATCAATTCTCAAAGTAAATTAAAAAAATTAAAGCCAAAAAATGTTGCTATTAAATCTAAGTGAAAATATAAAAATAAATTTTAAAATATTACATCTGAAGTACTATTTCCTACACCTGAATTTAAAGATTTTTTATAATTTATTTATCATATTAAATATTGTGATATCTATTTTGTTAAATTTTTAGATCAATATATATATATATATACTTTTATGATTATACAAGGATATAAAACCCATAACAAGCAATTACAAAAAGACCTGGACATTTTATAGTTCTTGCATCTATGTAATTTACAAAGTTTTAAAGTTAAGGTGTTATTTACAGTGAGCAAAATTTTTTAATGTTAGTATTCATTATCCTTTCATAATATAAAGCAACACACTTCATTCGGTGCTGTTCTGTTATCAAGACCGGATTCAGAAATTTATGTATGTATGCATGCATATATGGATGTATGTATGTATATATGGATGTATGCATGTATATATGTAAGTATGTATTTATATGTGTGTTTATATACATACGCATGTGCATATATTCATATATTTCAGAATCTGGTCTTGATAACAGAACAGTAACCTTCTTTCTTTTGAACTGTCTCCCATCTTTAATAAATAACATCCTGACAAGAAGCTTGGATACTTTTTTTAAGTAAACAAGAATATGTTTTCTTTATTATTACAGCAGAATACTGCAAACTTAGACTAATGTGGACTGAGAATGTGATGAGTTAAATATGGGAGAAGGTGATGTAAAAATGCTCAGTTTGACAGAAGAAGGGATATATTATTCACAACTCATAGTATTTTCCCCAGCACCTAAATCCACAGCAATTAAGACTCTTCTCTTTGCCCATTCTCTTAATTCCAATTGCATACAAATTCATTTTTAATGTCATGTTAATGTGTTTTCTTTTCTCCTTATTCGACATTTTCACTTGCTCAGAAAACTCAACACAGTACTCACAAGCCTGCACATAAACTGCGAACTCTACACATAAAAAAACTGATAGTTTAGTTTAGGATACAGCCATAAACCTTCAGACTGGTAATGGCTACCAACAGAAAAAAATGTCGATGGTAATTAACACAAACTACTTGACTTTCTTCAGTCAATTTGTAACAGAAAGGAAAAAATATATTGGAATTTCATGAAAGAAACAAATCTGTCATCAAATTCATCATACATGTTCCAAGAAATAGTGTTTACAAAGGGAAAGAGACAAAAATTATAAATTAGGAGACCATAACACAACAAACACAACCAGAAAAATTTCAGGACATTTACATGTATATAAATGTATTGTGATTATAATATAATAATTAAAATAAACTTATACTGCTTACACTGCATAGACATTGTTAGAAATTATACAACAATCTACTGAATAGGCATTGTTAGCAAATAACAATCTAAATCTAAATAATCTTGTGTGGGAATGTTTGAAATTATATAACAATCTAACTATTAATACTTCTCCTTTATTTCAACAATACTATTCTGCTTCACCAACAGAAATAATTTAGCAATTAAAAAAAGTATTCCCCAAGTTGTATAGAATGTCAACTGAGAATCGAGTTTGCAGGACTCTACTAGATATTACATTAACATAAAAAATATAACAATACTTTTTCACAATTCTAGTACCAGAAAGATAAAATTTTAACTTAATAATAGATCCTCATCTATCAATAAAACATGCTTGAAAAGAATATTATTCAATATACTGGAAATAAATATTTTTATTATCTGTTAAATTAGTTGATAACTTAAAAAATCTTTAAATGAAATAATGGATTAAAGTAGCACTTATTTCAGAAAAACTGCCGTAAAATGGCAAAATGCTAGTTAAATTGGAAAGCTAATAAATTTTCAATGATGCTTATTAAGAAGATAATTAATAAATTATAACTTGGAGGAAAATATTTGTTATTAAAGAATGGTAATATTAGACTATCATTAATTTGCTGAATTTAAGTCAAAATGCAAATACAATATAATAAATTTTAATAGACAAAAATCACATTATACAAGAAAATGTACAACAGCTGGCTGACTAATCATGCACATTAAGGCAAAGCATTCAAGGGTTATCTGCCCAAGGAAAGGTTACCTTCACAGAAGACTTTATGGGAAAAACCATCTCATATTTATTTAACACATGAAGAAAACTCTATACTGGTAGCCCAAATGCCAAGAAATGAATTTCAGATGAAACAATAGAGTTCAAAATGTGTTAATCTCACAATGGACTAAAATTTATCCAATCAGTCAGCAACATTTAGAACTATTCACAACTGATTAATTATTACATTTTCAGATTTAACTTTAAACAAATCATTTAAAAAATATGAGTATGCCTTTTTTTATAAGTCTATCTAATAAAATATTTAATTATTGTAAAAATAGGTTTAATCCTAGTATCCGGTGCACACGGGATTTGGCGACTTTATGATGAGCAGTAAAAACGGGACATATACGATGAGTAGTAAACCGGTCATTCAAAGAATATATATAGTTATACATAGTATATACTATGTATATAGTGTATATCCTATGTATATACACACATAGTATATAGTGTATAGTCTATATACATAGACATTCTTTGGATCATTTTTGGTGTTGGCGATAATTTTCAAAATCGCGCCAAGGCTGCACCGTATACTAGGATTTTACCACAAAATATTTATTATTATTACATTAAATAACTACAAAAAAGTTACAATTCTCCAAATCTGTATTATATATCTAAAAGAAAAACTATAATAGCCTTATATACTTCCAAAAATAAAAATTAATAATTTTTTAACAATGAAAATATTTTTTGACATTTACTTTTTTATACTAACAATTTTTATGCAATAAAATGATTAAAAAATACAGCAAGTTTTTATATGTTAAAGTAATTAAAATATGTTACAATTACCAACAACCAATTGTTGAGGAAAAGGCTCTTCCACACTGTTTATTACAGAAATTTCCATTATGAAACCTAAATACAGAAATACAAAAATTAAAAGGAATTTTTTACTGCTTTATAAGAATATAGTATTACACCAAAACTCAACAACATCAAATATTTTTAGGAATCCTCTTCTACAGATATTAATGCCATAAATATCTGAAAAAAATTTTTTTAATGTTTTTGCAACAATATCAGCTTTCAAGTGAAGATAAAAAAAAGACTGAGCATATAAAATACACACCAAACACATAAAATGATATAGATTTCATACCTTTTAATTTAATTAAGGAAAAGATAAAATTCAAACATATATATGAATAAAAAAAATGTACATGATAAAAATAAATGCACATAACATTTATTAATTTTAATATGAAATTTGAAATGTACAGGAAAATTCAAAAAACGTATATGATAAAAATTAATAAATGTATATGAACACTATAAGAAATTAATGCATGTTTAAAGCACATACAAAATGTAAAGATGTGAAAGAATTTCCTTTCTTACACAGTGCTCCATACGGCTTAAGGCTGAAAAAAATTATACTTCTCAAACACGAAAGCATAAAACTGCTTATATACATAAATATTTATAACTGCATTAAATAATTGATGTCCCCCGAGCGGCAGATATAAATTGCATGATTATAAAATCTCCATATTAAATACGAGATAATAAATAAGCAATAAAGGCTACCTTCATAGTAAATATTAAATAGCAGATGAGGTACAAATGCAATAAAATTACACACTAAGACACTAAGATTTATAATTTCTTCACCGTGACAGAAGTTGCAAAGTGTAAACAAATTTGACTTTTGACATATGCGCGCCGGCAACAGAAGAAAGCGCGTAAGAATATTACTCTCTTCTTCACTATCTGATGATACAATAAAAATACCATAAACCTCTTAAATAAAAAGCTACTATGAAGCAGAATTATCATTACGACAGTAATGTTATCGCGATAGAAAAAGGTTAAATTTGCGGGATAATGAGATAAATACTGAAAAGGGGCAAGACGCACGGCATGAGAATTATTAATAAATACGCGATCGAGAATTTATAATGCGAAAGAAGATTGTATACCGCGTACAAAACTGTAAGAGAAATATCTATTACGTGACTAAATTAAAATTATATTAGACATTTGAACTGAAATTTACATTTATAAATACCGAAGTTCGAGACTATCAAGTTAACTATGTAACTGAACTCATTTTTCACATTATAAAGTAAATTATGTATGTTACGGCCGAAGCCCGAAGTCGGTCAGTTCCCAAATTGGGCGGTCAAATCGAGAAACAGCCAATATCGCTTTACAATAACCGGCCAATGCCTGATCTTTTCTTTATTTCGGGGTTTGGCCAGCCATAGAGCCATAGAGCTACTACCCTTTATAGTAGCCTTAGCCAGCCAGTTTGCGAAAGGACATGAGGCGATCGGCCAAAGTCAGAAGAAAAAGGTCATGAGCAAATTTTTGGTGTTTGTATACCGTAATGCTAATGATAATCATATTATAGCTGTCACAGAGGAGTTTTCCGATGAATTCGCCCCTCTAAGGTGTCTAGGATCGTCCTGCGAAGACAGGTGGGCTGTAGTCTAAAGGGAGAAGTTTTAGTGAGTAAGGATCTCACAGTACTAGAAACCTCCTGGTCTCTTATGAAAATTTCATCTCCTTGGAAAAAACAAACAAGCAAAAAGATAATCACATTATCTACTGAATTAGTTTATTACAGAAAATTATTAGTATTATCACTTATTACAACAATATGAACTTTTATGACATTTCAAATTGTACAGTAGCTTGTTATTTTTACATCTTCAGCGATTTGTTGAGCACTTGGTAGTGCAACTGCATCGAGTGTAGCCTTGGCCGCCGGTCAGTGATTGTGAACAGGCAACGGTTCGTAATGATTTTTCCTCTGTGCCCACGGATGCCATTGTGAACCGAACAGTCTTGCTTCACCACATCGAACATTGGCCAGGGATTTCCGGGCGCTTCGGGAAGTGGCCGGCCAAAGTCACATATACGCTATTCATTTCCAGTACATCGGACATTGGCCACACACCCCGGCCAATGCGCGAAATGGCCGGCCAATTCGGGAACTGTCCGAAATTCGGGCTTTGGCCGTAACATATACACAAATTCTTTTAATGATTGCAATAAAGAACATTTAAAAAAAAGGATAGTTCGACCTCGAAATTTTTGTGTAAATTCCAGATCTTGTTATCCTTCCTTCATTTTCACGTCGACATTTACAGGAACGGACAGGATCGACTTCATGTAACTTCGGAGGACAAGTTTTTCTCGCCAATTTAGTTTAAATTTTGGTACAGGATTACTTTGAAAGGTACTTTTGAAAGAATTCTAATAAGAATCATCATAAAACATATTTATATATGAAAATAATCAAACGATTATAACATTGATTGAAAGTAATGAGAAAAAAATACAATTTTCATGGATTAAAATGACATCTGTTATTCTAAAAATCCTTGAAAATCGCTTAAAGTTAACGGAAAAAATCTTGAAATTTCGGTTCATGATAAAATTATTTCCCTAGCTCTCTAATCCTTTCTGTACAGCTACTATTACAGTTACTGTCCACATTTAAAATGATCGACAGAATAGCCTGCAAAAACATTTACTCGACCAAGTAGACCCGATTTCAAAGTTCTTGACACAGTTTAGCTGTGCAACAAGGCAATGCCTAATCTTCTGCAACCAAGGCCGCCGCATGTCAAGGGGAACAGAATGGAAGGAGGGAGGGTTCAGTTCAAAAAGTGAATCCTCGATGTCCATATTTGTCCAACCACTGTTACTCGCGCACAAACGTTTCAGTGCAACTTTTTTTTAATGGGTATACGAATAAGAAAACTTGAATTGCAATTAAATATTATTTATTTTTTATAAAAAAATTTCGCTCTATTTTGTGTTGAGTAACGAATAGTTGCAACTGCAGTATTGTGAGTACTGTTATAAAAATGCTTGAGAATTTCTGAGTATTAATAAAAATGGGCACGATTTTTTTCATTGTTGCATTTTTAATTCAGCATCAGATGAAGACATATTCCCATTATAGGCAGAAATTTTCTGAACTGGTAAACATTAGAAAGGAATTAGAATAGGATTGATTAAGCTTTTAATATTTTTAACGTAACTCGGAGACGCAATGAGCTGAGCAGCAATCTGAATCAACCACCTCTTAAATCAGCTGTTGCTTTTGATATGCATTATGCAAATCCATTTGCTAATTAATTTTTATCTCTATTTGTTCAACATTTTAGATTTTATGATTACATGACGATATATGATTGAATGAAGCCAAATCAAAATTAGCACTTTTCTAGAGTTTCTCTTGACTGCCCTCCAAAAAAAAATTTTAAATTGAAAAATATGCAAAATTTAAAACTTAAGTTTTTTTTTTTTTTTTTTTTTTTCTAAATTAAGCACTAAATTATTTAGAATTGTAAAATATCTCAAAAATGCTTTAAAAATTTAAGGATCATTTACAACAAGTACCAGTCTTCTGAAATTAACTCAAATAATGAATTACCTCAATGACATTGCTATAGCTAATAAAAAATATGCGAATTTTTGCTCTAGTACACTGCAACTTAAAGCTGAACTATTACGTATACTAAAATAAAATTATTTTCTTCCTATTCCTGAAACATTTTATATGATAAGATTCTTTAATAAATTACGATAATATTGTGAATAAATCAGAAAAAAAATTTTTAAAGAAAATAAATGATAAATACTCATCTGGTAACTAATAAAACAAATCCTTGAAGTATGCAAAAACTTCATTTTAAGTCTTTAATGTTATACATATGCATTTAGATTTCGTACTATTTCTTGATAATTTTCTGTACATAGTAAATTATAGATATTATCTTTATTACTTAAGACAAAAATTTAACAATAGCGAGGCATTTCCTTATAAATTTAATATATTTCTACTGGAAAATACATGCAGGGAACATTGTAGAAACAAGTACGTTTCATTGTCCTAAAGCAGTGTTTTGAGTTCATAAACATGACCGCGGCTAGCTAAGTAGGTCTCATTTTCAGATAGTAGAAGAAAGCGCTAACCCTCTCTCCTTCTACTCTAACCTCCTTAATAAATGACCGTCATTTGTGTGTACGCAAATTGTTTCATGCTCTCCGTCCACAGTCAGAACCTGAAATTACTGTAAAGCTGCATTCCAACTGCAGCTTGAGCAAGAGGGTTCTGAAATGGGCAAAATTGTAGATAAGAGCCAGGTACACAGCCAGAAAACATCGGGGGACTTATTTTAAGCTTATACCCTTTAAATATAAAGTTTCGATCACGATGTGTTCATATTTCCTTTCTTAACACCTCTGCGGGTGAATATCTGCGCTTTTCCTGCGACAACCCCTTATATACCGTCTAATTTGTTAGCACTGCATTTCTGGCCTTGCATACCTGTGGGATTCGAATCGTCTAGATGACCTCTCCTAGAAGTTTGTTCCTCTAATTTTGAATCACAAAAGTGTTTTATATGCATATGCACATCATGTCGAGAAAATTCTTTATCCTGCCTTTACTTTTGCAACCGTTGGTCATAAATATATGCTTCCAATCACAAAAATGTTTTAAATGACACAAATATTGGTATAGTTTGATATTATTAAATTTAAGAAATAAGGTTTCTAAAAAATACGAATTCTAACTTTTTACGCATTCTCCTAGTAATCATAATAATGTTTGGTGAAAATTTATACTCATACTGAGAAATGAAACCCGAAATGTTTTGCTTTTTTACGACAAAAACTGACCGAGATATTTAGTTTTAAAATTTGCGTTTTTTATTGAGCCAGAAGATCGAATTTATCACCGTTCTTGAAATACCTATAAATTTTTATAACTCGAGATTATTTTCATTTTCATTTAAAGCAAGGTCATGATATTGCTTTCTTTATTACTAATATGTAATATTCTTTAATTTGTAATTTTGCACGTAGAAAGAACTTTTGCATAAGTACGCTAGAGCTCAAGAAATAAGCAACAAGCATTAAACGTAAAGGTACGAATGTAGAAAAGGGAATTAAAACATAAAATTTACATATGAGGTAAAGGTTGCATTACCAAATACAAGTAGGCAACGAAAATTAACACGATTTGCAATCTCGCAGTCACACCACAACGCCTTGAAAAAGGACATGACGAACCTATTCTTCAGTTAACATTCAATACTTCCTTATAATCAGAAATAGCCAAACGGTTGCCCAGTCACCATTTACCCGATTAAATGCGATGAAAGGCTGTCGGAATATTGCGATCTGATACAAGGCAATCCGTTATTGAGAGAGAGCTGAATGTGCATCGTACTGTCATCAGTAACCCTACTAAAGGGATCAAAATACCTATAGAAGAGGTAAGTAAGGGCGTCGGAAGATGACCACAACGGCAGATGATAGCTTCCTGTTGGTATGTGCAAAACGCCGTAGATCCCTAACAGCGCGACAACTGGCGTCGCATCTCTCTGCTGCTGCAGGACGGTCTGTATCCTGCCAAACTGTGCCGCGTCGACTGCATGAAAGCGAAATGTACGCCCGACGACATGTGGTTTGTGTTTCTTTGTCCCCAACGTATATCAGAGAGCGGTTGAATTGGGCCTGTGAACATCGCAGTTGGACATCAGAGCAGTGGGGACACGTATTCTTTACGGGTGAGTCTCGATTTAACATTCAGAACGATTCCCGAACAACAATGGCATGGCGAGAGCCAGGCACACACTCTGTCAGGCGCCAAACATCGTCGATAGAGACCATTAACAGAGGAGGAGGCTTACTTGTATGGGCTGGGATAGCAACGGACGGCGCACCGACCTCTACGTGATTCCTGGTA